AAATCATAGGCGACTGGAATGATAAATCAAAGATTTGGAAAACACCTCCTTTGAGGAGGAGTGTTCAAAGATAAAACTTCTTTAAAATCATCTTCACCTGAATGTTTCGCCAAAGGGAAAACTGAAAAGTATCGCGAGCAAAGAACACTGAAAACTGCAAACAACTGACATGACTGACATAACTGACATGACTGAGAGCAACTGCATGCAGGCCGTGGACCGAAGCACGATGGCTGAAGCGTACAGAACTGATGGTGGTCTCAAGCCCCCATTGTTCCCCCCCTCCCCCCCCGGGCCTCCTTGGAACAAACTGTTTGGTCCGCTTCGCTACCCAAACTAGGCCAGTTGGCAGCTGAGTATTATACCACCGGCTTTGCCCTAAGGGTGAAATCATTTGCCCACCACCTCTGGGCTCGTTCAGGTTCCCTCGTCTGTATCCTCACACACTGCAGCATACAATCTCGAATCAAACTGCGGCGGATCAGTAGAGTCTGCCTGTCCTAGCTTTCTGCAAGCGGACAGTTTCGGATCCAGATTTCCCATGCTGCGCGTTGCTCTACGTAAAAGACTACGGCGCTCAGCTTCGACCTTGCAACAGGCTCAACATTTCAGAAGCGAATGAGCATGATAGGACGGGCTCGCATTCGTGCACTCGGAAAAACCTGCTAGATGTCAACAAAGAGTTTTGGCTGCCCACATGGACTACAGCAAGGCTTACTTACTCATCCTAAACCCTACACCGCAACGCAACCACGTTTTGTGGCCTTCAGAAAAAGAAGGCTGGGATTACGTCCAAGCAAGGCTTCGTCACTGACTAGCCGGAAAGTTTATCAGCTGCTCAGGCAGCAGTTTGGGCGATGCTCATACATTCACTGGCTCAGATGGCAGACCTCACTTGATGGCAAACCCCACTCCGCAGAGTCATCGCTTTTAGTGCCGGGCTCAAAGCCGTAAAACTTTCGTGCCCTGCCTCAGACAAGGCTTGCACACTGCTGAACCGCTCACGCTCAACCGAAGACGAAGAAGTTACTAGCTGCCACGCAACAGTTCGGGTCACAGCCAAGCTCTCTCACCCACTGCTTCGGCAGGGCTCGCACCGCTGACCACTCTCAGCGCCGGGCTCAAAGCCGTAAACATTCATTCCCTTGGAAAAGAAAGAGCGACGCTTGGTCACTGCTACCCGACACCGAAGAAGAATTTACGCGCTGCAGGCAGCCGTTCGTCGCAGCAAAGCTCACTCATTCACACTCACTGACTTACGTACTAAAAGCTGGCAGAGCTTAGTCACTGCTCAACAGATACTCGCTGCTGGGGCAACAATTCAACACGGCGACAGCGAAGCTCACTGACCGCTGATCACTCTCAGTGCCGGGCTCAATGCGCGTCAAAACATTCGCGCCATCGTGTGAGAAACGACAAGGGTTAATTACTGCGATTCAGAAAGCTGCCGTGCTACTGTTTTGGCCTGGGCAAGTTCAAACATCTACATTCGACGGGGCAGCAGACAGAACCATGCCTTGCGAAGTCGTTTTTGCTCTGCTTTCAGGATCTTAGCGACTCTGCGTGCTTCTACCTGCTTTGGACGAAAGACAATCAAGACATCTTGTAGACACGCAGACAATACCACACCTTTGCATCCTGACGCTCCTGTCGCAGGCGGGCCAGACGGGCGGACAAAGTCTCCTAGCAACAGGCAGACGAGGAAGGACCATTTATTTACGAAGGACGTTCTACACTCCTGCGGCAACTCCACTCTTTGAGGGGGAGGAACAGGAGGTGCTTCCACGTCGGACATCGTTGCAACACATGGGCCAAAAGAACGCTCGAATTACGGAGCCAATTCCGGAAGCTGTTCTCTAGGATGCTTGGAAGGGCCTCCTCTGTGTGAGAAAGTTCTGTTTGCAAGGTTCACATGTTTGCGAGCGTTCCACTTGTTATTTTGAGTTTTGAACGAACACCGGCAAAATGCAAAACAGAGCTGGCGAGGTTTATATACTGTTGCACACAACGGCCAGCTGTGCATGCAGATGTGGCATCTGCTCGACGAAAAAAAGGCATAACTGGGCCCCAGAAATGGCTCCCAAATCTGAGCTCTAATCTGGGGCCCCGAATTGCGTGAGCTTGTATGTCCAACGAAGAAAGCCAAAATCGGGAGCCCCGTTTCGGTGCCCGGACTAGAGCTGCTTTTTGGAACCCGTTTCAGCTGGAAAACTGCACGGAAAAAACAAAATTCCTTCCGCATGCTGTTTGGATCAACGTCCAAGAAAGCCAACATGCTGTGAAATGTGAGATACTTTTGGAAAATTTGCCAAACTTGCCATCGGCTGCCGTTTCAAGACAAGTGCTTCTGTTCTTGTTCGTACAAGATCTTTCCCGCACAGGGGAGGCCCTTCGAGGATTCCTACGATTCTGTAGCGAAAAAGAGCTCCTGCAAGTGGAGCTTCCCAGCGCAAAAACAGCCCACGTACAGCAAGCAATCGAAACAGTTGAAGCTACAATCTGAGATTAACATCTGCCAGTAGATGCCGCAAAATCCTCGCATCAGCGTGCCAGCATTTAGCCGCAGCAAACTTATCAAGAGCATTACCACAGGAGGGCGGCGAGCCTCATGTGCATCAGAGGTGAGCCTGTTTAACGTCTTTTGTCTCGGCTCAAACTTCAGATAGCAGACGTGCTTTTTGCAGCCTTACTTCAAAGCAGCAAATCCAAATGCAGCGCAAGATGTGCGATGGAACTGGGCCACACCTGCAGCCACTGTCCTGAACATCTCCTTCAGTTCCACTCTTCTCTGAAACATAATCTTGCTGGTCGTCAGTAGGGAATGAGGGAATGAGTCATCTGCTTCCGCTGATGCCGGAAACCGGATCACACCAAAACAAAATTGCTGCTCAATTGGCCCTTCGGCTCGACGCCCCGGGAGCAAAAACAGAAAAGCAGAAAGAGAGCGAGAACCAAAGAGAGAGCGAGAGAGAGAGAGAGAGAGAGAGAGAGAGAGAGAGAGAGAGAGAGAGAGAGAGAGAGAGAGAGAGAGAGAGAGAGAGAGAGAGAGAGCGAGTCCCAGTCCATGCTTGTAGTGTGGTAGACAGATCCGGAGCGACATTTGTTTCGTATTGTGTGTTTAATCAATACTTGAATTATCATGTGGCACAAAACAGCACGTGTAACAATTCGGCACTTGTTTGATACACAGTCATGACATGGAACTTTGACCTCCTTGAAACTGTTGTTTTCAAGTCGATTATTAGACTTCTACTGTTTCATCATAGACCAAAACTGAATTACCATGCGGCAACAGCATTCCAATCAGACATGCTTGTCGATGCTGTGTACCAATTCCAGCACATCAAAAGCTCATGCTTGGCAAAATCTAATCTCGCAGACAAATCAAATCATTTGCCACTTGTTTGTTGTTGTTTATGTATGCGTTTCTGCAGCTGCAACATGCACAAGCATGCCCTTTAGACTTTAGCAGCCGGAAACCGACAAAAATAATCCCAGCATCCTGCAGTGACAGACTTTTGCACCATATAGGTCCCTATCATGCATTAAAAACATATCACAACACATACTTCGCAGCTAGAAAGCCCTTACTAGCCCGAGCACCCTATAGTCCTAGACTCTAAACACCTGTAAAGTGCATGTATGATCTTCTAGCCCTAGGTCCCGAACCCCGCGTCTTTTCAGGGCCCTGCAGGCAAGCCCGGGGAGAAGGTGAACGAGCTAATGTGCCGTGCCGGCGCAGACGACGACGCATGTGCCGTGATGGCGCAGACGACAGCACGAGCGACGAATGTGCCGTGATGGCGCAAGGATGAATTGGGAGAAGATTGAGTAAGAGCATCGTGTTAGAACCCGAAAAGAGGTGAACTATGCCTGCCAGCAACCCGGGCCGTATACCAGCAGCCAGCAACCCCGGCCGTACCAGCGGTACGCCGGCGAAAACGGCGCAGCAGAGCGTGCGTGCCACGAACCCGGGTCGTGCCAGCGGTACGCTGCCCAAAACGAAGGTTTGGTCCTGCCTGGGCATTGGCCTGCCCGTTTTGGGGCCGTACCGCTGGTACGGCCCGGGTTCGCGGAACGCCACCAGGCAGCTGGTACGGCTGGGTTTTTGGCCTTTTCGTTCCTTCGCCGAACCGTCTCTTGGGAGGGTCTCGGGGAATCCCCGGCGAAAGCCGGTGTAGGCCTGCCTGGCGACAGCAAGCAAGCCACAGCAACGCGCCAGAGCGTGCGTACCAGCAACCCCGGCCGTACCAGCGGTACGCCGGCGAAAACGGCGCAGCAGAGCGTGCGTACCACGCACCCGGGTCGTGCCAGCGGTACGCTGCCCAAAACGAAGGTTTGGTCGTGCCTCGGCATTGGCCTCCCCGTTTTGGGGCCGTACCGCTGGTACGGCCCGGGTTCGCGGAACGCCAGCAGGCAGCTGGTACGGCTGGGTTTTTGGCCTTTTCGTTCCTTCGCCGAACCGTCTCTTGGGAGGGTCTCGGGGAATCCCCGGCGAAAGCCGGTGTAGGCCTGCCTGCATGGCGACAGCAAGCAAGCCACAGCAACGCGCCAGAGCGTGCGTGCCAGCAACCCCGGCCGTACCAGCGGTACGCCGGCGAAAACGGCGCAGCAGAGCGTGCGTACCACGAACCCGGGTCGTGCCAGCGGTACGCTGCCCAAAACGAAGGTTTGGTCGTGCCTGGGCATTGGCCTCCCCGTTTTGGGGCCGTACCGCTGGTACGTCCCGGGTTCGCGGAACGCCAGCAGGCAGCTGGTACGGCTGGGTTTTTGGCCTTTTCGTTCCTTCGCCGAGCCGTCTCTCGGGAGGGTCCCGGGGAATCCCCGGAGAAAGCCCTTAATCATTCCCTCTTGGCAACCAGCCTTCTCTCAGCAGCCTGCTGCGGAGCAGCCCCGCGAGAGCAAGCTCATTCCTTGTGCTCCCGTTTATCAGCGGCCGGCGGGCCCGCGAGCCATTAGGGTACGGGTACCCTAATGGCTCGCGGGCCTGCTTGTGCCGCATGAGTCATGAGGATCACGCTTTGAGTCATGAGGATCACGCTCAGGGATAGTTGTGGAGCAAGTGGTGAAAGTGTCCAAGTCCAGCAGATGCAACTGTGTCTCAACGGAGGTTGAGTTGGTGCTAGAAGCCGTGGCTTGCCGGATCGAGAGCCCTGCCCATCAGGAATGCTGTCAGATCAGCCGCGTGCCGGTGTCCATCTACCCTCTGGTGATTGCCGATGACAAGCGGGACTTCGACACTGACATGGCAGAAGCCTGGGAAGGCAAATATCTCAAAGGGCAGCAGAAGCATTGAAATTACTGCAGAGTGCCGACCCAGTCTCACATCTACTGACGCAGACGCCCTCACGTTCAGGTGTTTACTGCCCGAGTGGCAGTGACGACAGTGGCCGGTTGGATTTCGCACAGCGGAGGCCAGCTGTTTGTGGCTTTCGTCTGGCCTGGTCTGCGGGTAGGCATCATTGTGCGGAGGAGTTTCAAGCCGGGGCAAACTGCCTCGGGCTCTTTGACTTACGAGCTTTGGCCCTGCATTATCGATGCTTTGTGCTTGAAGCACGTTTGGCCTGTCCATCGCAAGCCTTCTCACTGTCGGCACCGGCACCGAGGACAAGAACTTCGGCAAATGGTGTGTATCTGGCAAGGGCTGCGCCCAGTCGGATGCCGCCCGGTAGAGATCTTTGGGGGATGTGTTAGAGAGTGTGGTCATGAAGATAGAAGGGGAGATCGCCAGGCTTCATCCCTTTGGACGCGGGAAGCCACAGTACTCGCACGCGTCCTGTTATGGTTTGTTTCTGAGGCCGTGCATCCCTTGGACACGCAATTGCACAGCGACGATTGGTGACCGGGCTGTCTTGCGAAGTTTGTCCGGCAAGCATGTCTGGGTTCTATCTTGGTGCAATCCGAGCTCTGCTCAGGCATGTGGTGCCCGTCAGCGACTTCGACGCCATCTTCGAGGTGTCTTCCAGGGAAAGCCAGTCGAGTCGAGAACACCGATGGCGGTGACCTCGTCGGATGTCGCACGTAGGTGTCGCAAGACCCGAGATATGTTTCAAGTTTCGCGTCCCATCAGTTCTGGAACGGCTGCAATCAGCTGGACACGCTGCCTTAACTCGGGCGGTGCTACCCATCATGTCATGCCGGGGTACTGCAGCCATTCTTGGCTGCAATCAGGTTTACAATTCGCCCTTGTTGCTCACCTTCTTGCTCAGGGATATCTGGTGGTGTTCCGACATGTTCCATGCACTGCTCGTTTCGTTTCGCGAGGCTATTTCCCACCGGAAGAGTTGCTAGCCATTACAGTATTTACAGTACTCCCTTCGGGATTTGTCGCCTCCACCTTCTGTTGGGATAGAGGCAGGGCAGGTTTGATTGGCTGTTCTCCGTCTTTATATACCGTCTTCCTGCTGCTGAGTCATGTCGGATTCGGAAACCGTCTCCGGTGTTTGCGTCCCTTTTCCCTTTCGTACCGGCTCAAAGTTCCAAAAGCCCCGGGGATCTCGAGAAAAGCCAAAGATCGCTGGCTCCAAGCTACCCGGCAGGCTCCTGGCGCGAAGCAGGTCTCGACAACGAAGCGCAAACCCCCTGCGCTTATTAAGCGCCTGGGCTCACTCTGACTGTGCCACGTTCTCTGTTCGGCACCCCGAAGGCCTGAACATACCTGGAGCTTCCAACAACTTGGCTTTCGTGTTCAGAAGGTCAAGGATACACAGGCTTGGGTTGCTCCGACCGCCTGTTGCGTGCAGGCCTAGGGCTCTCCACGTCTACAGTCTACAGCACGCCCGAACATCCAATGTACTCGTAGGCCTGGAGCTCCCTTGAAAGGTTCGGCGCCTCCGACCCGGAGTATTCGCCAGAGTGCAAGGAGCTGCACGGCTGCTTGGGGCTGTGGTTTTGCAGCGCTGTTTGATTTGGCCTGCTTTCAACACCAAACCCGCCATTTGTTCTGGGAGTTTGCGTTTGAGTTTGAGCAGGGGCTTCGTATGCAGCGGTCTCCCGATGACTCTAGAGATTTGTCTCTGGTGCCTCTCTCTGAGTGTCGTATTAAGGCTGTTTATGGCTTCAAATGTTAGTCGATCTTAAGGCTCAGACCCTTGATCTTGTTGGCAAAGCTTGGCGGACCCAGACTGCCCGCATTTCAGAAGCCAAACTGCACTGGGCTTATGCGCGAGGTCCTTTGAGTGCGTGCTTGTGTGTGGGTGTTGAAAGATCTAGGTTGGTCTTGTGATGAGCTTGTTGTGTGGTATGATCCGGCTGGTTAGCGTTGGGAGGTGGATCGAACGAACTCAAGCTGCTTGAGCATATCGCTTCTCAGCAAGAGCAAGCATTGTGGCGAAAAGCCTGCCGTCATCAAGGCGGTGTTGGAATGAAAGATGGCGTTGATTTCACTGTTGCTCACCGTCACCTTGAATATTTGTTACAAGCTCAGAAGCTTCAGGAGCATTACACCCTCATGCATGTGTTGCAAGGTTCTCTCCCTACTGCTGAAAATGGCTTGGAGCTTGTCTGCTCTGGTTGTGGCATTGAGCGTCCCACTTTATGTCATGAATTGTGGCGATGTCCTGCTGTTATTCAGGCCACTGGCCCTGCACCCCCTGCTTGGGAACCGCATGTCGAAGATAGCGCACAGCAGTGCGAATGGCAGAGGGGTATTTTGCCTCTGGGTGCTGCCCAAATCCCCACACGCCATTTTGTCAGTGAGGACGACACAGGGTTTGGTCCTGCAAGGAACGGGCATGTGGCGAGACATATGTCGTTTGGACGCGACCGGTCTTGTTTTTGGCACTGATGGTTCGGGAGGCCCCTTTTCGTCGTACAAGTTGCATCGTCTTTGCAGTTGGGCAGTTGTTGCGCTTGAGGCTTGTCCTCTGCATAATGTGGTGGCTACCCTTCGGGGGCCCCTGCCAGGGACGAAGCAAACTGTTCCCCTGGCTGAGGCTTATGCAATGAAAGTCCTTCTGGCTTTCACTGACGACCCCCTGACAATGTGTGCGAGTTCACTTGGTTGTGTCAAATGCCTCAGAGGGATTCGAGCCCAGATGGCTGTAAAAATTGAGAAGTGGAGTAACCCTACTGTGTGGTTGCACATAAAGCAGCTGGCGGGCTCTAGGGAAGTGCACGTTGATTGGTTGCCGTCGCATCAGTGAGCGTACGAGTGATCAACAAGACTGGCAGTTCAAGGCCAATCAGCTTGTTGATCAACTCGCTGGAGACGTTGCCCAGTCGCGCGCTAGAGTTGCCTTGCTTGCCGTGCATATTCAGATTCTTGATGTTGTCCATGATCGCTGTTGGCGAATCCAAAGTGCCCTGATACAGCGTTACGCCTTTTGGCACGGTACCATGCAGGGTAAGCCCCTTCTGCGGATGCAGGGCCCCAAAGAAGCGACCAAGGCTGAGATTGTGCAGTATGCTCCTCAAACTTCGAATACACATTCCTTTCAGCTCTGCACACGGGGATCGTCTGTCAGCTGTAGGTGTCTGCGCTGCGGTCTCTTATTGCAGGCTAGCTGGCGTCGTCCTAGATTGCTGCAGGTCATGCGCTTGCCTTGCTGCTTAGGGTGGAGGTTTCTGGATTTAGGTGTTCATGCTTCGCATGAGCCGTTTGTGTTGACGGTACTTCCATTCGTTGTAGGCAGTGCAAAGCGCGGCCAACATGTCCACAGCTTTATCAGTCTGAACAAGTTCCAGAAATGGTGTAGAGGACGTAGGTAGGGTTGGAGTTTTCTTGGCACCGCCATGTCTGTTGTTGGACAAAAAGGCTGTTTTGACGACTGGCGCTTTGCTGAGTGGCCTCTCATTCTGTCGTGCACTGCAAGTTGCACATGCTTTCAGGGGCATCGGAGCATCCAAATCCAGAAGTACGGCAGGACGAGTCGATTCCCGGGACGCGCACGTTTTCACTGGCCAAGATGAACGCCGAGGCCCAAAATCTGGACGACGAGAATCCGTGCAAGCGGCCTCCCCTGCAACTACGGTGTGTCAATCGAATATGGGAGTTTCCGAGAATGAGGGGTACCTTGTTTTGGGGTCCTTATAATAAGGATCCTGCATGATCCTGCCATTTGGGGATTATGTTAGGGTCCCCTATTGTCGGAAACTCCCATATCGAGTTGCACACGGCATCTGTTCGCGTGGTGACTAGGTATGTTTATGGCGTGCCTCCGACCAACTCCGACGGGGACAATGCGGACGGCATGACCAGTTGGATGGATGATCTGTGCCTGGATGAGGTTTGGCTTTTCCGTGTTTTGGAGGAGAGGTGTAGGAGCCGCGCGAGGGCGGCTCAATTTAGAGGCTTCTGCTGCACGTTGCGCTTGAGGTCCTGGCTTCCAAATTGCAAGCAATGCAGAATCCGCTGCAGATAGAGACATATTCAATCGAAGAAGAGCGGGCAGAAAGACTGAAGACTGAAACAGTTCATGGCCGTGAAACGTCCTGGTGCAGTCGCTCGAGTAGTTAAATAGGTTCGAGATTGGGGTTGATGGACCTGTACCTTCCAGAGTCATGAATGAGACTAGGTGACGAGTTGGTTAATGCGAATGCTCTGCTGTTTCGGACCCTAAACCCTAATCCCTGGGGTGTACCATTTCAGACTTCACGAGGGCCGGGAACGTCGGACCTGGTCAAGGAGGCGTGACCTACAAGTCGGTGAAAGAATGCCGGGAGCCTCAGTGCCAAGCTCCTGATGATGTTTCAGGGTTTCTGGGGTTTAGGGTTTAGGTTTATAGTGCAGGTTTAATGGGATGAGGATGAGGAGGATGATTTACAAAAGCTGATGTGCCTGACAAAAGCTAATGCAGCCAGTCGTTCCTATTTCCTGTAGGAGAGCCGGTCCGGAGCCCCAGGAAGGAAGCAATCAGCCCGTAGTAGGCATGGGAGAAAGGAGGAGAAGGAGGAGGAGGAGGAGGAGCGGGAGGAAGAGGAGGAGTGGGAGTAGCTGCAGTAGTAGGAGTAAGAGTTGTGGTGGGAGAGAGTAGTAACGAGTCGGAGTTGGAGCAGTGTCAGCGGCTGACTCCATTGCTCCTGAAGAGGCGACGACCGCGACGGCGATCGGGCGATGCAGATGGCCAAGTGGAGCAAGGCTTGCGCTGCTTGTCGACGACACTCTCGGGCCAAGACAGAGACTTCTAAGTTCATGGTTTCAATGATCGGGTCGAGGTTGAACTGGTTGAAGGCGTGGGGGTGCTGTCTGGTCCGACTCCGGTGTTTCCAGGAGCCGCCACGAGTTAGGGAAGATCGTTGGGTGTCCTTGGGTACGGCTGCCTCGGGGGGTCAACAATGTAACCAGCTTTTTCAGAGAACCTCGACCCCGAATCTTTAGTGCCTTCCTGTGTTGCGCCTCACAGCAGCCCTGCCAGAATCACAACTATGGCAGCATGGGCCTCGGCTACGCGAAGGAGTTTTGTGGGGAGTGCGCCTGAACCACAGCCGTTCCATCTCCGTGACGAAGCTGTGAAGCCAGGACTTGGTGGATGCTTTTATAAATGGCATGCCCGAAGTTGAGGCGGCTGCCGGAAGCAACTGTCGAGCTAGCCTTGTGCAGGTCGGGAAGTAAACAACAAGCAAGTACATGAGCACGAAAGTAAGCACGCAATGCAGCAAGTTGGCGGGCACTGTGGCAAGTCTGACTGTTTCTCTGTGAATCCGTCGTTCCAGCTGCCCGGCTAACTTGCCTCCTCTCTGCTCCTCTCCTGTTCTCTCCTAAGCACTCACTCACTCACTCTCTACCGCCGTCCTTTTCTCCACCGTCAGACTGCACCAGTGGGCATCGGATTCGAATCTCAGCCTGGCGCGGTCGCGACCCTCGCAAGTGCTGGGCTCGGCATTGAACGTCTTCCAAAGGATCATCAAGTCTAGAGTCCAGAGCCTTTCACCTTTCGGCGTAGGTGTAGTATTGCCATTTGGTCAGCAAATGCAGGATTGAATGTAACCAGCCGATGAGGTACCATCTGGTTCGGCACGACTCAGCTGCGCTTGGACATGTCGCAGCAGGCGCTGCGTGGTCGCAAGCGGAATCTGTCAACTTCTGCGGCGGGCTGCGGGTGAGACTGAACGCTTTGGCATCATGTCAGATCCCCTACAGATGTGTCACAGTGGTTGTACACCTCCGCTTCCTTACCGTAGTCAAACAGTGCACGTAAATATTTTGATAGTTTGATGCGGGTTTAGGACCTCCTTCGGTCCCGGCACCGCGTCGGAGCGCGCAAGGGTGAGTGCAAGGGCAATCAGTAGTTGAAGGCACCAGGGTTGAGCCGACCCACCTTGTGTAAAGTTAGTTAAGCTCAATAGCCCACTATCGACCCCAAACCGGACATTATGAGGGATGTTTTGTTCATATCAATCCTTGCAAGAGTGTGGGCGAAGCGCAATGCGAATTTCGAGTTAAGGATTGCAATTGCAACCATAATGAAGAACCACCCCCATGTGCGTTATCTACTAGCACATTGCAGGATGTAGACATGTCATTTTTTGGAAACAGTGTTTCATTGGCCACGCCCTTCCTCATTTCAGGGGAAAGTTGACCTGCACCAAGGCACGAGTGGCGCTACGAGAAGGCTGGAGCTGGTGATTGCGGTGCTCTTCAGCTGCTCGGCAATCGCGGTGCCTGCTTTAAGTGCTCCTGGTTTGACCGCACGACTTCTTGTTTTTGTTGTGACATTTCGCTTCGATAACCTTGGGGACTCCCTCAGCTGTATGTCGGCAGTGGTTTTGATCGCGGCACTGTTTTCCAAGCCTTTGCCAAGCTCTTTCCAAGCCCTGGTGTAGAGCTTGATGCGAAACACAACGACCGCCCTGAGCACCCACTTGAAAAGGTGCTTCTTGCAGACGCGAACTAGGAGACCGATTGTCTTATTGCAGAAGTGTTTTGATGAAGCAAGGCACGGCTTCGCCCGGACCTTCTGCGACCTGCACTGCATCCGCGAAGCTGTGAGAAGCTGGGCATATTTACAGAAACTGCACGGAAATGATGGATGAAGCTTGGCCTACTATTCGTGACTTTGCCTCTGTGCCGCCCTTGACGACGCGAAAGGAAAGGGTGATGAGGCCATCCTAAGAGCGGTGGAAGAAGCCGTGGAAGTCATCGGCAAGAATACGCAGATCCTCCTTGAGCACTACGACGCTTTACAGCAATGAAGGATGTTGAGCAGGTCAGTCACATTCGGAATATCGGAAGTCTTACTGTAGAGGGTACCTCAGCAAACTGAAGCAAGCTTCGAAAGGATTCATCTGCAATTCGGTTCCTGCCCGAGTGCTGGCAATGTTCAGACGTTCATGGCTGTCTGCATGTCAGATGTTTTTTTGGCCCGTCCTTTAGAGACTTCAGCTACGGCAGTATCGTGTAGCCTTCCTCAGGTAGGCTTCTGTGTGCGAGCCATAGGCTTTGGCCACTTTCTGCGTCCGAGACGGCTCCCCTGTCAGAGACATGGTGCACCAGTGGAAAGCAATCTTCGAGTGCTACAGTTTTGCATCCCTTCAGAATCCAATATTGGCAACAGCTACAGAGTATTGTAAAAAGGAGCCGAGCCCATATCGTTGCCAACAGCACCCGAAACCCTTTGAAGCAGATATACTCTCAGGTTGGGGGCGAGTCAGGATCACTGGTCCAGGAGGCGGATCCAATGGCTGCCCAAAACCGAAGGCGTGTTTTTATTTGCGGCGTGATCTTGGCCCATGCCAGGGCACTGAGATCCGCCGCGGCCTGGCAGCTCAGCTCGCAGAGCTCATGGCCACGGCCCAGGAGGCGAGGGCAACAGCGAGAAGTGGGGGGAAAAGACGATCTCCGCGTGCCAGGCCGCCCTGCAGCCACGCGCCTCCCAGGCCGCTGAGCGCGCCGTGCGGAGCTTCGCCGGGCGCTGGCGAAGCGTCGAAGGCCCGCAGAGCGAAGAACAGTAGTGACATGTGGGTGACAGCACCTGTGACCGGTGCAGAAGCAGTGCCTGCCTTTGCAGGTGGCAATGCTTCGGAGAGTTTGGCCTCGCTGCGCGCCATGGCCAAGGATACCTCGGAGCTCCACGCGACGGCATCATCCCTAGCTCTCATCTGCTTTTTCGGGGGAGAGACTGCTGCCAGAGGTGTGGCTGCTGCTGGCCCTATTTGAGGTAATGCTGGTGAAAGGCCAGAGGTTTTCCAAAGTTGAGGAGGTGCAGCGGAACGCCCTGGAAACGGCGTCTCGAACGAACGACTTCCTCAAGGCTCTTTCTTAGGATGCGACCAGCTGGCTATCAGTTACAAGATACTAATGTCTCCAAGTATCTTATCCAGAAACACCCGCCCCCTGTCGTGACCTCAGACCGAGCAGGCGCAAGTTCATGAGCTTGGCCTTTACCGCCACACTGCCAGACGGGGCAAGATGGTGCAACGCTGGTTCAAGCAGCACTGGCAGAACAAGTTGCCTGGATAATATGTTTCCCTTGCAGCTCATTGAAGACGTTGCAGTTGTTCGCTCGTTGCGCGGGTGTGCAGTCTGTACTCAGGTTCTCAATGCTCGATGAGTTTCAGGACTTGAGTGTTGCCCAAGCTATGCAGACCTTTGACACCTCTTGGTGGGAGATCCGTCGGGAGCTGGATGCGCATCTCAGCAGAAGGGACCTCTTACTAGAAAAAAGCCACTAAACATGCGGGGGAGGGCCCCCGCAACCCGGAGCGTGACGAGGTATCTTGAGGCGGCGACCGAGCAAGCACGCGTCATGAGCTCTGCCGTGGATGCCCTGAGAGGCCAGAGCTCCGCGATCCGCTAAGCCTAAGTAGCCTAGCTACACGCTTGTCGCGCCTCTCGGTGCTGTAGGAGCAATTGAATACCTGCGATATCCCGGCAAGTCCTGATTTGGGGTCCTTATAATATGAGGATCCTACCATTTAGAGTACGGATTAGGGTCCTTTTTTCGTAAAGCCCTTTTATCCTCGCAGGCAGCATGTACAGGGGTACTGTTGCTTGTGGCTTCACGTGCTCTGCAGCTGAGGTAATTTCCAGTATTATTACTATTACTACTATTATTACTACTATTGTAACTACTACTATTACTACTATTATTACTACTATTATTACTATTACTATTACTATTACTACTATTATTATTAAAATTATTACTACTATTATTACTACTAATGCTATTATTATAGTATGTATGGGCTATCCTGGCTCTAGCCGGTTAGCACACCAGGGTTGCCTTAGACTTGGAGCCTCTGTGATGTGCACACGCTCGTGCCGAGGATACACTGGGAAATAAACCCTAAACCCTAAACCCAAACCCTGTCATGAGGCTACACTGGGAAATAATCCCTAAACCCTAAACCCTAAACCCAAACCCTGTTATGAGGATACACTGGGAAATAAACCCTAAACCCTAAACCCTAAACCCTAACCCTGTTATGAGGATACACTGGGAAATAAACCCTAAACCCTAAACCCTAAACCCAAACCCTGTTATGAGGATACACTGGGAAATGCCAGACAAGCTTCGAGCAGCTCAAGAGCTCCTACGCTGCGTCGGTGCGGGCCGACAGGTCGCTTGGCACAGCAACGCACTGTCGAAGGCAACGCAGTTCTTACATGCAATGCTCTGGGATCTTATCGGCTTGACCACAGACTAGGAAGGCCCACGCTGTGCTGAAGAAGACGTGGTCCGACGTGGTTTTCCAGGCCGAAGACGAGGGACAGGTACCGCTTTGGGTTTCTGCCATCATGCATCGGTCAAAGTCTCTTCTGGGCTGTTGGACAGCGCTCAGGCACTCCCAAGTCCAGTTAGGTCCCGAACCCTTTTTGCTTAGCCGAAGCCTTAACCGCTTAGACTCTAAGACCTTGATGCAGGCAGGGCTGATGGCATCAAAGATTACTGACGCCGGATTGCTGGATCGGCTTGCGTTGGCAGACATCAAGGACCGGCCGGATTGTTTGCAGGGTCTAGGGGCTGACACTTCAGGAGTTGGGGCCGGGCCCCAACGACGGGCCCCAACGACAGGTACTCAAGGTTGTCGTACAACATGAGTTTGGCTCGCTGGATAGAGGGTATAGGGCGTTTTGCAGCACTGGGCTGTCTGCAGCGGCAGATGAGATTCCAATAGCCACTGAACCTTACAATTACAACATCCTTGAATCTATACTGGGCCAAGGGCAGGCGCTTTCATACCCCTGTTGCTGCTAGCCTGCAATTCTAAACCTTGAGCCTCGGGTGCAGAGGACAAGTCGACCTGCGTGCTGAAGTGAGAACTTAAGTGTCTGAGCACTAAGCATTATAGGGACGCTGCTGAACTATGATCACGTCTCCTCCTGTGCTCGTCACATTCCGCCGGTCAATGGTTTCCAGAAACACTTTAGAGACCGACACAAGTGGCAAAACGACAAGGAACCTCCCCAAGTCTGCGGCGGGCTTCTGTCTTTCCTTGCTTCAGCCGGCAGAGCGGACAAATTGCCTGTGGTTTGATTGGGGTTCAGGGTTGAGTGTATTGAAACGTGACTATCGTATGGTCAAAGTGATCGACAGTCGGAAAAGATACTTGCAAGACAAGTTCTTCTCAGGCAGCCAAGCAGCCCACCTTGGACAAGGCCTGTCCTTGCTTCATGGATGGTGGATCCCTCAAGTGCGAGAAGCCACACAACAACCTGAACTGCAATCCTAGACGCAACGACTCGAATCTCGCGGCTTTGATCCCTATGCCTTGATTCTGCCTCCAAGCGTCTGCTTCCGCACCCCAAAGCTGGAAACCCAAACCTACCGCGAAAAGGGCGTCTGTGCTAGTATCGGAGGCGCAGCTGCTCGGGTTCTGCAGCGGCAGCGATGTTGCAGCCTTTAAGCTCATGCATGCCCACCTGGCTGAGGCAGAGAGCTGCAGTAGATGCGACGAAGGTATCTCCGGTTCCCTTCCTCTGTCTCTCTCTCTCTCTCTCTTTTCTGTCTATCTGTTTCTGAGCTGATTATCTTACATTTTTGCCTACCTGCTTAGTTATCTACCTGCACGTTCATGTCTGCCTATCTATCTACCTATCTGTCTATCCAGAGATCTGTCCATCTTTCGATCTTTGCTTCTATCTATCTGTCTGTCTGTCTATCTGTCTATCTGTCTATCGATGTAGCTAGCTCGAGCGATCCACCGATCAGTCTGTCGATGCGTCTGTCTATCTGTCTGGCTGTCTGTCTGTCTGTCCACCTACTCACCTACTGATCCGTTTGTCCATCTGCCTGTTTGCCTGCCTGCCTCTGTCTGTGTCTGTCTGTCTGTGTCTGTCTGTCTTTCTGTCTACCTATCCATCTATCAATGTATCTAGCCATCTGCTTGACCACATTGTGCCTTTCTATCTTTCTACCTATTTGTCTATTATCTTTCTATCCCTCCATCCATCCATCTGTCTACCTATATATCTACATATCCACCTATATACCTATCTAAACACCTTGCCTCCTTGTCTGCCTGCCTGTCTGTCCGTCTGCTTGCCTACTACATGCCTACCAACATACGGCATGTATGGTGTCATGCATTGCATGCTTGCATGCATGCATACATACATACATTCACACAGGTACAAGCTTACGAGCACGCCCACGTCTGTGTGGTTGGATTTGAAGCAGAGCAAGCGCTCAGAGGGTTTGGCTTGCAAGACCTAGATTCTGGGAGTCCAAACCAGCACACAGCTCAGCTTTCGAGCACATGTTCCTACGTCATCGGCGAATATCGTAGCCCAGAAAAGGCGAACATCAAGTTTTGTGCGGAGGTGACTGGGCAGGGGCTCCTGGGGCAGACGCAGCAGCAGATTGGGATTCTTTTCCTGGAGATGGCCATGCGGCTCGGCCCGAAGCTTTCTGGAAAGTGTTGAAAATTCCGAACAGGTCGGGACAAGTCAACCGGTTTGTTCAGCAGGGTTCGAGGACTCAGGTCACATGAAGTAGACGGTCTTACATCGAAGGTAGAAGAGACGATGAGACAAATGCACGCCCAGAGCCAACAGACGCAGTTGTTCACTATCTATACACTCCTCGAGCTCGAAGTGCGGCAGACGAACAACCAATACCCGAATACCCGATCCACAAAGCTCAAAGACAGAAACTCAAAAACTCCCCTATGCTGAAAGCAGACATTGCATTCCCAAACCACGAGCCCCCTTCCGAGGCCCACGACCACAAAGCCCCATCCGCTCCTCCCCAGGCTCCGGCACCGTTTCCGGACGGGAGGTCTCGGCGAGGCCCCCAATGCGGAGGCCCTTTCTGAAGTGTTTTTGGGAGTCTGAAGCTTTCTGACCGGACTGAGTTTCGCGAGCTTTCGAGGAAGGCACCAAAAAACGAGGAGGAGGAGGAGGAGGAGGCAGATGAGGAGGACGAGGAGGAGGAGGAGCAGCAGAGGAAAAGTGCCAGTACGATTCCCACCATTGGCAGCGTTGCCATCAATGTCATAACGTCAGTGCCGCATGATCCTCCTCATCTTTGTCACTACTTCTTCTTCTTTTGGATGACTGCTGGACCTCAACCATACATGCAAAAATCCCTGAGCCGCAAACCCCCTGGGCCACAGGTGGCTGAGGAGGCGGAGGAGCGCTTGGCTGATGCCCTGGAAGGCGCCCGGTCCGGCGCAAACCACTTGGCAGGGCGCTCAAGAAGAGGGCCCTTTAGGATTCATGGTTTAGGCGGGGGGCCCTTCACCTCTCCCTCTCTCCGTCTCAATCTCTCTATCGTTTTTTGTTTGCTTTCCATCTGTACTTATCTCTCTTGCCGACATTGCCTAGCCACGTTAAGTTTCGTCCATTTGGATATCGATGTCGTTGTAAAGACAGCATCTGCATTCTGCACGTATCTGTCCTTGCCTGTGTGTCTATCATGCATCTCTTCGCAGGGACGTGCCTGGCCTTTTCTTCGAAGAAGATTCGTATCCACTTGGAAAACTGAGACTGATCTATCTTTATTCGTAGGTGCGTATTCTCGGCAGCGCAGACGTGCGACTATCTTTGAGAACCCCGCTTGAAGTGCAGGCGTCCTTCCCGCAGCCTGCCAAGCTTACACATGCATACATGCATCCTAGATCATCCTAGCACGGATGGATGAATGGATCTGGCGCACTGGTGGCCGGGTGTGGGGCACTTCGCTTGGGATGGAGGACCTGCATGGGAACGGACATCATCTGTTTGGGCTGGAGGCCTCGTCCGGGTCCTTTGGAGCCAACGTGCAGCGATCTGCTGTGCATGACAGTGGGGCGATGGGCTAATGTGCTCCCACCGTATGGACACAGTCACAGGGCGCTTTCAGTGTGTTCGGCGGAAGCGCCCTCGACTGGCAGGGGAGACTTCGACGAAGTGCGCAAACAAAGAGCTGTAGGAAGATGTTCTGTTAGGAGGCAGGTTTGATCCTTCGGTGTTCGTGTCGGGAGCCGTCCCTGCACCCTCCCGGGACTGCGGCCATGATGAGTGCTCCGATATGCTTTGGTCCAACTCTGATGGGCCGATGCCCTTCCACCCACAGTCAATGCTGCCCTCTTCTGCCCTGTTAGCCTGGCCTAGTGTGTGGCAACCTGCAGCGAGCTGCTTTGCATGTCTGTGCATGACAGTGTGGAGGGAACGGCTGATGCTCTCACTGAGGAACTCCCACGGTTCACATCTGACAGTCCGCGCTTTTGCATTCTTCTATGCATGTCAGCTTCTTTCATTGACTGGCTCTATTCTGCCCGTAGAGTTGGAGTCTTTGATGTCGGTTGATTGGAGGCCCGTCAGGCCGACAGGCCGACTTGTGTGTCTGCACGTGTCAGTCCATGAACATGGGTAACTTGCCTTGGCGTGCGGCGTGCCAATGAGCCTTTGCATGTTTCGATTGAAACATCTTGGGAACTTGGGATCCACCAGATGTGGTCGTGTAGTTTTCTATATGTGGTTTGACCTGCAGAAACCCTGAGAGGCCTGTTCTCCACACACCTTCTCTGTGTTTGATCGGCCTGGGCGTGCTTCGCAAGATTTTCTTCTCGAGCTTCTCGTATTTCAGTCGTGGTTTCAATGAAGGAGGTGTCCAATCAGTCCAATCCATGTCTGTTTCTTCCGTAGGGGTGTGTCCATCTGTACATATGTGTGTGTATGTATATATATATATGTATATATGTTTGTACATTTGCTCATTTGTTGACATCTAATACATAACAACATGCAGATACATGTCTGTTTATCTTCCCACCAACCTGCTTGCCTACTCGATACTCTTTTCTCAGGGCTTCAGAGTCGGGGAGCTTTCAGGCTGCAGACCTTGTGCACCATTGGCGAAGCTACCTCTGTGAACGTTGACAAGGCAAGGCTTCTATGACCTACATACAGTATGTCCGTGTATGCATATATATATATATGTACACATGCACGAAGTTATGTGAATACAACTTCAGACACACAGACACACCCATTGAGGCAGGAAACATTCTCTCTATCCATCTATCTGTCGGTCTATCCATCTGTGTACATATATATATATATACATACATATATTCATTCATACCCGTACACGCACAGACATGGATGTACACACGCCTCCTAAATCTCGCCCGAGCTTCTGGAGCGCGAGTGCTAGAGACATACGAGAAAAAGACATATTTATATCTACATCTATATCTAAATCTATGTATATATTTTACATATTCAACAATACATACAATTACAGACATACACACATACATACAGGCATACATACATACACGCATGCCCGCATAAATACAGATGTATATACATATTTATAAGTACATACATGTATAATATATATACATATATATATATATATACACATACATACATGCAACGCCCGGGGTACCATACATATCTGTATATCTATTTATATATATATATATATGTGTATATATATGTATATATATATATATATGTATATATATATGTATATATATATATATGTATATACACATGCACAAACATGTGCATACTTACTTTCATACATACATACAGACATACACGCATATGCTTGTATGTTTGATAGAACATCGTGTACAGGTAGACGGATGGATGGACGGATAGGTGAATAGATCGACCGTTTGACTCTCGTCAGGCTTCGAGAGGGCTGCCCAGAAGCTGGCCTACCCTCGGCCTCTGGCCAGGCCAGGCAACACCTCGGCCATCGCTTTCGGATACCTTTGAAGTCTTCTGCCCTGCAGGCTCGCCTCGTCGTCTCGAGATGTTTTGAAAACGAGCGTCAGCCTGTAGCACGCCTTGGTTACCTTGATATCTGTTTTACCCGCGGACAACTTTGAGGGGCTTGTTGAGACAACGCGAGAAAAGACAGCGCTAATGCCATTGCGCATGCACTGCTGCCACCACCACCACCGCCACCCGACACAACCTGCTGGAGTCGAAGAGTTCCCATTTGCATCCTCTCATCATCGTCGTTTCCAGCATCGTCGTCTTCAATGCGTAAGCCCTCAAACTCTAGCTAGTGAGACGGGCCTGCCTTTGTTGAGTTTGCTTTCGCGTTCACGCATGCATGATTGGGAGGATGGAAGGGGTATTCCAGGCTTTCCTAAAGATCTAGGTTCATGTGTTTGTTTTTGTAAAGTCGGTGTTTAGATGTCCGTTTTGGATGTAGTATCACATAGGCATTTACCTGACAGCGTACCAATTTTAATGCTACGCCGCCCGCCTTGGCTTCTCAAGTGCAGGGCGCAGGACAGGGCGCATTTTGTTGTAGTCAGCAGGTGGCGGCTGAGGTCACGGCACAGGGTTTTCGAGGTCGAGCTTGTCTCGCAGCAGGGCCGGAGGAGCAGACGTCAGGCAGGGCGGCACAGCTGTGGGCTTGCATGGTCACGTGCGGTGCGGCGCGGCCATGCTCCGCAGGAGGCGCTGAGCGCTGCTCGTGTGGGTAGGTCGAGGGCGGCAGGCTGGACCTGCTAGTTGCATCCTTGGGATCTTCTTTTCGGTTATCCCATTTATTGGATTGTCAGCAGGGTTATGGTAGATTACAACATATACCCTAAAAATAACCGCTGTACCTTGAAACGTACGCTAGGATGGTCAGAGCGGGACTACACTGAGTTCGCCGGGCCCCCCAGAGCAGGGTTTAGGGTTTAGAGTGTGTCAATGTGGGTTTTAGGTTAGGTTTTCGTGGGGGTTTCGGTCAGGTTTTTGTTCATCAGTTAGGCTCGGGTTCTCGCCCTTGGTGGCGTTAGTTAGGCTCGGGTTCTCGCCCTTCGTGGCGTTAGTTAGACTCGGGTTCTCGCCCTTCGCGGCGTTAGATGGCGTTAGTAAGGGTCGGTCAGGTTCTCGCCCTTCGTGGCGTTAGGGTAGGGGTGTTAGGGTAGAGATTGGGGCGTTAGTTAGTTTTTGGGCGTCGGGTGTTAGGGCAGACATTGGCCTTTTTGAATAGGGTAGGGTCTCGCCCGGGTTGGGTGTTAGGGTATGGAGGTTGGGTTGGGGAGGCCGGCGCTTTAAAGGGGTGGGGGGGGGGGTATTTGTAGGTTGGGGTTTCGCCCTCCGTGGCGGTTAGGGTTTCGCCCTTCGTGGCGGTTAGGCGCCCTCCGTGGCGGTTAGGGGTTTAGGGCCTCAGGGTTTAGTAGGGTCTGGGTTTGAGTGATCGGGTTTGGGCTGGGTTTTTCGGGTGTAGCCTAGAAAGGCGATGTGAGCGGAGAGCTAAACCGTCGAAGAGGGCCGGCATTAACGAATGGGCGCGCAAGCGCGCGTAAGCAACAGTCGCATGAGTCGCATGCGCGGAAGGCTTGCGCACCGGTTGCTTTAAAAACGGATGTGCGGAAGGGGTGCGTGGAAGGGTATCTTGAGGTCTTATAAAGACGACGACGATGAAGACGATTACGACGACGACTACCGATCACCACCATGCTTTGGAGTCTTAGCTAGTGCAAAAACCTGGCAGAAAATATCCTCACTAACATTATGGACCCTTGCTAGTCTTCTTCGTGATTGTATATTTCGCGCTGCTGCTGCTGCTGCTGCTGCTGCTGCTGCTGCTGCTGCTGCTACCTTACCCTTATCCTTATGCATATCCTTATCCTTATTTTTACCGTATTACCCTTATCCTTATCCTTAGTCTTATTCTTATCCCTTAGCCTTATCCTTGCCCTTATTCTTGTCCTGATTCTTATCCTTATCCTTACCCTTATCGTTATCCTTATCCTTCGTCTAATTCCTTATCCTTACCCTTACCGTATTAGCCTTATCCTTATCCTTGTCCTTATCCTTAGCCTTGTTATTCTGATCCATATCCATGTCCTTGCCCTTACCCTTACCCTTATCCTTATACTTATAGTCTTATTCTTATCACAGATCCGAAACTCGCCAAAATCAGTTTTAGATTGGTCTCCGCGCGCAAGGTTTCGAACTGTGTCCAAGAGAGCTGCATCTGTAGATTTCGCATATCCGCAAGTCCCTTAACTAGCTTTCGTCCCAGGCCCTCACCCCCAAGTTGTTGGGGAGTACTACTGTTCGCGAGCTCCTGCTTGGCTGCGGAAGGCTTCAACTACACTGACATTCACCGCACGCACCTGTGCCACGAAGCCAGCTCACCACTCGGCTTCGCAGAGCCAGGATGGCAGCAGGGCTTCTATCCCACGCTTGCGCTCAGGTGGAAGGGACAAGGCCTGCATGAACGAGGCAGAGATGAGTATGTCAGCAGCACAGCACATGACGCACTGTAAATGAACATTGCAACTTCCTTTATCGCTTGCACTTATCAGCAAACATGCAACATCCGAGAGGTTGGAGCAGGAAGGAAAATAAGCAAGCAAGAACTGCACTACAGTACCTGCAGCAAGCAGTCTTTACTTGACCGAAACGGCTGTATGACTTGATGCTCTTCAGCAACAGTCGACTTGAGAATGCAGAACCAATCCGGCACGCGGCGTTCTCTGCAACACGACTGCATTGCTAGACATGTGACGGCTCTTCGCCAATCGTGAAGTACATCAAATGTGTGAATCGTTCTTCGTGCCATCGAGCACTGGCAGCATGCCACCGTTCAGAACGGCCCTTCTTTCGTCCAGCATCCCGAAGTACTCTTTGCTTCTGCGTGGAAGCCGTTGGCACCGGCAGGGAGACACTGGTCGGCAGCACTGACGGCGCCGCAACTTCAGGTGCCCCCGTCACGACTGCCACTGTCTCAGTGTCTTGCGATGCCTTTCGGAAGACTCATCCATGCTTATCTGGGAAAAGTCTTTCCCCCTTCTAGTGGTCCACACGACATGGAGCAGCCGAAGCCCCTAAATCCTCAAAAGAACGACTTGGTCCCAACTCCCACAAGTGCAGAAACATACGGGGGCCCGAAATCTTCGCACCCTTTCATTGTATGCCCGGTTCGAGCTCTTCTCCCCCCCCAGAGTCTAACCCCCAAGGGCCTGAACCCTCAAACCCTGAAGTCCCGAAGGGTCGCCCTCTTGAACCTAAACTTTAAACCTTGAAGCCCGAAATCCGCGAATACACGAACTACTAGATTGTTAGAGTTTACCATGGTCCATTCTCTTGCATTCATGTTGAGTCTTGAGTCTCTGAGGTGGTCATGAACCACTCCGGCTCTATCCTCCGTCGCTTTCAGCCCGGTGAGCCGATCAGCCTCACGGTCGCTGAGGCTGGCACCGTCTTGTTGGGCTTGTGATTCAGGAGCAGCTCCACCTCAGGACCAGGCCAAACAGCATTCATTCCAGGAGATCAAGCAATGCGAGGGTCCCAGGACACTCGCTTCTTCCGACCTCGGGATCTCATCCCATAGACGCCCACTGCAGCAGACTTCCAACGCACAAAAAGCAACGAGACCACTCACACTGAACAGCCTCCGTGCAGACCAGAAATTCCGCCAAGCCCTCGTAATCAATGGTTGAAGGGAAGGGTCGGGGAGGTTTTAGGGGCTAGGTATGTGCTCTAAATCATAATAGGGCTTTACAAGGGCTTCAGAAAGGGTTTGCAGAGCTTTGATACGGGGTTTGCACTCAAGGAATATTGACGGCTTTGTACAGTTTGACGCAGAGTCTGCAATGAACCTGAAGCCCTTTCCGCCGTAAGCCCCTGTTACTTAGGTCCTTAACTCCTAAAACCATCAGAATTCAGGCTTTACAGTACTCTTTTCCAGGGCCTACTCCCAGGGGCCAGGAAGATCGGAGAGGGAGCCTGCTTAATGTTAAGGTCGGCATCCATCGGAGGATCAGCATACTGCATGTTCAGTTGTCTTCGCAGTGAGACCGCACAGCTCATGAATCGTCGGTGTAGGTACAATGCTTGCCGAGCCAGGTCGCTCGTGCTCAAAGACTGCATGGTGCAAGCGGTGCAAAGCTCGATGTGTCAGAGAGGAGAGCCTGACCTTCAGCAGATTTTACGAGCTGCGAGGTAGACATGGTGCCGTTCGTGTTATGTGGTAGGGAGCAGTAAAGCCACTCCTGTCTGAAAGGATCTCTTCATGAAGGTGTTGAAACAGCAATTGTAACCCCCGCAAGTTCCATGAATCATTGTTGGCTAAACATGTCAGCTTTGCGCGAGACTCTTATCGAGCATAGCTTTCCAATCCTGCCCTTGCGGCTTCAGACTTGAACGAGAGATGACTATTGAGGACATCGCAGTAGGGAGACCTGTCATGGTAGCCTCCGGTCTTGGACTTCACAGGCGGTGAGCTTGTCTTGTAAGGGCAAGGCCGCCAAGGTTCGTTTCACTCGGGATGTTGGATACGCTGCTTTCAGTGAAAAATCAGCGGTTTCTGACGGGTGGGCGCCGGATTTGTTTAATTGAGCACAGAGTTCATGCATGAGAACCTGCCATGCCATCCGAAGTATTTCGGCTTCATAGTCGTCTCTTCGGAAACCTGGGCCTTGCCCTCAGACTTCGCTTGTTACACGATCGACTTTCAGCTTGAAGCTTCCAGGGTTTACGGTTATCGTACAAATTTGGCAATACCGTAGCAATAGAATACTGTTTTCGTATGATCGTACAATATTACAGCTATAGGGTGTAAGTGGGATTCAGACAACACAACTTCAGGCTGTCCGGATGCCTTCTTCATGCAGCAAAAAGAGCCTTAGGTCCTTGGGGCCATCACATCAGCAAACACAGAAGCCAGCAGCTTTGTTCAAGCTAATTGATACCCAAGCAAAAGCATAAACAACTACACTGTAAGGGCTCAACTGGCGGACCCAAACGGTGGTCCTGAACACTCCACTGCTCCTGCTGGGGTACAGCAGCCCTGCTCACCCCTGCCCCCGACCTGGATAACAAAAGGGGAGCCCCGCCTGAAGCGATCCGCCCCACGGTGACCGCTGTTGGTGGGGTTGCTTGCACGAATCGTTCAAGCATGCCGGGCAAAGTTGATGTTATGCAGAACTCCTATACATGATTATAAACCCTTAAACGTGACTTTTCAGAGGGGGCCCAGGGTGAAAGACATCCACCTGCAAGACCTCATAGTTCGCTGAGTACTCTTGTCTGTGAGTTTATACGAACGGGCCGCCTAGCCCGATCTCAGAAGTTAGGAATTCTGTCTGCAACGTGCAGCGGCCCGAGTGTAGTTGCCGTCAATACTGCAGCAGTCAGATACGGTTGAATCATGCATGTGTCAGTGCAATAGAGCCGGACCAACCGATCGGTCAAGGCTTCGCACAATTCCCTGCAACAGTCGACACTCTTCAGCTCATTAGGATTATTTCGAAAGCAGCTGAGGCCTCCCACGGGCAGTCCAGGAGTGGAGACTGTCGATTGTATCGGGGGTGGTTTATGGGACTGTGGACTTCTTGATGTAGCCATTCCTCGAAAGGTTTGCAGCCGGAGCTTTGAATCGAAGGTGACAGTTTTGGGGGGATTTGCAGGACAGTCGGGACATCACTGCTATCACTCGTGTGACTGAGAGGCTACCTGAGATTCATCATTTCAATCAGGGTGTTGAGCGGACTGCGCAGCTGCCTTCAAGTGCCCAAACCCAAGCAGTGCTTGATCAGGAGCAACAAAGTGCGGAAGGACAGATGGAGGCCTCGCTCATGAATGTTGGTGATCTGGAAGGTATGAGCTGCTGTTCTTCGCATTGTTGTGTGTCGTCGCCGAAGAGAGTTCTCAAAACGCTACTAAAGCCAAGTGCGGAAGGAATGCTGGAGGCCTCGCTGATGAGTGTTGGTGATCTAGAAGGTATGAGCTGCTGTTCGTTGCGTTGTTGTGTATCGTCACCGTACCTGGAAAGTTCTCAAAACGCTTCTACCATAGCTGGAAGATCCCCGCAAAGTAGGCGAGCTTCGAAGGTGCAGGCTTCTTGAGATTGTCGACACGAACATTTGCGCCTGACATGTAGTGGAATGACCAAAGAAAGCCAGATTAGCAGCAGCAAACACGAACGCGCACGCACACACACACACAGAAGCCGTGGACTTCTTACTAGTATTTTTTGACTTGTAGTAATCGTAGACGTGGTGGTAGTAGTAGCAGCATCAGGAGTAGTAGTAGGTGTCGTCGTCACATCTCCAGTACAAACACACGATGGGAGTACTAGTCTGACAACATGGACTGGTATGAGTAGCTAGCATTGCTAGCCGGATCAGCCTCACCATCCTAAGCACTGCTTGACACCATGGCCAATCCAGAGTCCGGCTGCGCAGGACCGGCAGGAGCAGGAAATCACGAGCGAACCTCAAACAATCGGCCCGAACCCTCACCGAGTTAACCAGTTGAGGAGTTAAGCCTTTTACACTAAAGACTCTAGAGTATAAGTTCTGCTACACTAAGTTCTGCGACGAATAGGTATCCCGCCTCTTCGACTTTAATTCTGCCTCCTCGCCAATAGTGCGTCCGGACACTAATTCCTCGTGTGGAAGCCACAGCCGCTTTTACCACGGCTTACAGCCTCGGATCCTATTATCGCATTTAGTGTTGATGCATGACAAACCAACGATCGAACCATTTAGACCCCGATGCAACACAGCTGAGTCAGGCGCTGGCCACTAACGAGCAAGATCGAACATCCAAGAAGCAGCAGACGGGTACTTTGCAGCGCGAGGTGGGATATGTAAGGTTTCTCAGAACTGGGCACGTTTGCTGCGGGGGTTTACTGATGGCGACATGTTGTTTTTTGCCGAAACCAAACCCTAACACCTAAACTAAGAGAAGCTCCCATGTGTTGGCAGCGCGACACTTCCAAGGCTAGGGGTTTCGACCCTACACTTCTACACACCAAGACAATGTAGAGGTTGGAAGGAATCAGTAATCCCTAGACAACCATACTGCAGTAATGTCCCCAAACTCCCTGTTCTCATTGAGAAGGCCCGTATATGAGGCACCAGGGTTCTGCAGTCATGAGGAGTCGCTGTTGAGGGCTTATGCGGTTAAGAAACTGGCTTCCCTCAGGATGCTAACAATAACGCTGGGGCCATCGATAATTCAAGTAGGGTCTATATAAGCGTCACTCGTTCCTGTGGCCAATGCATTGGTCTCAGGACTTCACCGAGGTTTGTTTTCTCCCCCCTCACCCCCCCCGAGAGCGTGCAGACATACCACGGAGCTTGTTCGGACTCCGCCAGCAACAAGTGAAGCTATGATGATAGTAAATGCCCCAAACCCTGATCGACGGTACATGGGCAGTTACAACCATGTCCGAGCTTTTGAATTTTGAAGCTTTTGTCTTCTTGCATGAGTATATTGTATGCAGTACATGGCCCCATGCCCCCCACGCCGTCGGGCATGTCCGTGCACCCGAAATTTCAAACCCCACAGAAAGCCTACAGCCCCAAACTCCCTAAACCCCAAAGTCTTAAACCCGAAATAAAGCCCCAAACTCTGCAGGTGGATCAGCTAGACTTTGACATCACAGAGCTTGGAGACTCCGTGAAGGGCTTGAGCAAGGCTGCCTCGTCCCGATGGATGTGCGAATTAGGGGATGTCTTTGGGATATTTCGGGTGTAGAATTAGCGCAGGGTTACCTGTTTTAGGGGATTGGGGAATTGGGGCTATCCTTCGAAATTTAGTGTCCAAGGTTCAGGGCGGAGTTAGGGATGTTTCGGGTTTATGGTTTTTGCAGGAGGTGTTGCGCCACGATGTGCATACTGTAGGTCGGGAACTGCTAGAGCTAAGGTTTTGTCCATACATCTGAAAAGTTGCAAGGGTTTCCTAGATCCTCAATCCTCATCTTTCCCTACGTTCGAGATTACAGGAAAGATGCTGGTAAGCATCCTCATCCCTTCGACTTAATTTTTTAGAACCCGCTCCCAAGCCCCAACACTTTACCCAAAACCATAAGGCTCAGAGTGGCGCTAAAATCAATGAGTCGTTTTAGAGGGCCTTAGGCAGACCCTTGAAGGAACCCCTCAAGGGACCCCTAAACCCTAAACCTAGCAACGCTAAGCTCTTAAACCCCAAACCCAACAACCCTTGAGCCAGACAGACACCGGGGACAGGACATCACCAAGCTCACGGCCGACCGGGAAGAGTCGGAGAAGTTGCGCCAAGCCGAAAAGGAGGAGTCATGTTCTCACGTAGTCTGAGTTTTGTACATGTTTATCATAGGGTTATATAGTTGTGTTTAGATTTTATATTACTGTTCAGGGTATTGGAATTGAAAATAGTATAGGGTTTCTACGGAGCGTTACTAGGTGTTTACAGCATCATAATGTGCATGGAGTCTTGTTCTTTCAGATCTGTCGGAACATCTGGATTTCGCGAGCTCAGAACCAAAGTCAAAGTCGAATGGAGCGCTCGTTGGTCAACCAGAAAGACGTGCACCGTGTCTTGGAAGAACCTGTTGTGTGATCCCTGGCTTTTAAGTTAGGGATCGATCTTGGACTCAAGCCCTTTGAGCCCTTGAGGGCCGCTACAACCTGCGGGAGTCAACAGCGCCAGACAGAATTTGAGCCCCAAACGTCTCTCCCTCACTGTCTTCTGCCTGGGAGGAGAACGAAGACGCGATGAAGGATGCACAGGACAGAGAGCACTCGCAGATCCAGGTTCTGCACTTAGGATTTGAAGCTTGGCGTGTTGTTTTAATGTAGCTATCCCTAGAAAGGTTGCGTGGCAAGACTAAGAGTGTTGAAGTGACACCTTGTGGGATTTGCAGAGCAGTCGAGACATCACTCCTGTCGTTCACCCTTGAATGTATGCCGGCTCCCCATGGCCGGGCGCCGATCGTATTCTGTATAGCTCATGCAGTCAGAACCCGAAGTTCATTGGAGAAGCCTCTAGGCCCTCCAGGAAGAAAAATGCTCAAATCTGACTCGGTCTTTCACTCAGATTCATCATTTCAATCAGGGTGTTGAGCGGACTGCGCAACTGCCTTACAGTCCGAACCCAAGCAGTGCTTGATCAGGCTAAGCCAAGTGCTGAAGGAAAGATGGAGGCCTTTCTGATGAATGTTGGTGATCTAGAAGGTATGAGCTGCTGTGCTTTGCATGCTAGTAGGGATTTGCAGAGAAGTCGTGAAATCACTCCTATCATCCACTCCTGCATTGGAGATGTTTGCCTTCGGGCCTCTATCCGCGTTGTCTGACACCAGCCGAGAGAACATTGCGCAAATGTTTCAGCCACCTGCCCCGGTAACCGATCAGACTTTGGCGAGCTACGCAGGGGATTTTGTCCCCGGCTCTTTTAGCGAACATGGACAACATCTTTGGCAGAAATGCTCTTGCTCTGAAGCTTTGGACAGCACCTGAAGAGGCCACCTTGGGCGGAATTCTCGTGTGATGAATCCTGAATCCACGGCATGCTGGACAGAACCCTGGGCCAGGAACTACAGACAAGACAAACTGAAACCAGAGCAAGAGACTGGTGGTTTCTAATCTAGCTGGTCGCTGTACCCGCACCTAAAGACTGGCTGACCCGATTCCATGTACTTTCCCCGACCCAAAAAGGGACATCAACAGAAAGTAATCGTTTGGAGGTGGATGTGAAGAAAGAGAAGAAAAAGAAGGCATGTGCCAGTGTGTTAGGAAGAGATCGGCGTTGAAGTTTCGGTTTCGGGTATGTGTCCAGAAGGCGGAGGGCAGAGCTTGGCATCTTGTTGCCATGGTTAGAGACTTCAAACCTTCAGTTTCTGGCAACGCGTAAGGCCCCGCTTGGGAGGTTTTGATGTCGTTGCGCAAGTGGGAATGCGCGAGCGAATGCTCGTGCAAGGGACACTTGGTGACTCCATCGTCACAGCCCCAGTGCAGACATTTAGGGTTGAATCGTAGGCTACGCGGTTATGTATGGTTATGCATCCCGATCTGGCTGCTGAAACCGGTAAGTGACATGCCTCATCCTTGAACTAACTCAGACGCCGGACAAAAAGAAGTCGCAGGTTTGAGGTAGTCTTCCAAGGGCTTCCGCAGGACTCCGAACCCGGAACAACCAGGACATCGGAAACTACCCTGGCAACAACGCCCAAAGCAAGATCGAATTAGGATGAGAGGTAGCTATCCTGAGGGATGCGAACGCCTTCCACACCTTTGTCGTGATCCGAAGCCTTGTCGATGTTCAGCCTTTGTCCTGCAAGCAACAGAAAGTCAGCAACCCAACACGTCAGAAAGCGCTGCTTCAGGAATACGGCAAAGAAGCCCTCCCAAACCTGAGGGTTGAACCCTGAGCTTTCAGGCTGCGGCCCTGTATGCTTCCTATCCTGTCGATTGACCCAGACCAACAGTTGGAAACTTGATGTCTGACATCAGTTGCAGACCTGACCATACCGAGGCCGGCTTCGGTGCGCCCCCGGGTCTGGAAAAACAGACCAGAGAGACAATGCCGCCCGCCCAGAGGCCCGATGACAGCATGCTGGGAGCTGAAGCAACGCGTGCATAAATGTAGACCACCATGCACCATGGCATACTGGTCGTGCTTGTCGTAGTTGTCATACTGGTAGTGCCAGTGATACCAGCCGTGCTAGTAGCACTACAAGTAGAAGAGAAGTTGTCATGGTTGTGATGTTTTCGATGCCTAAGCGACTCACGACCTGACACAGAGGTGAAGCGGAATATTTGGTGGTTTGTGGCACTGCAACCAGGGCCACTCCTGGTGGTGGCAGTGGATTATGTTCTTTCTGTTTGTCTGCAGCCGCTCTTCTTTCTGCGTCTTAGCTCCTGTTTCATTGTCGCTTGATTTGGCAGCGGCCTGCAGTCCCCAACACCGTAATCCGAAGTTCCCTGCAAAAGATAATCACGAATGCGAGCCGCGCAATCCATATTAGCAATGGTGCCATGAACGCTGGCTTCACATCCCATTGCATGGAAATGCCCACCACTGCCAGGAGGCCGCAGCAATGAAGGTGGGATTCTCGTCGGGTGAGGGTTGGAGTCGGAATGTTTAGGTGTTTAGTTGCGAGTCACGTGCGCTTGACGTCGATCGTACTCAACGCCAAAGAAGGTAATCAAGATGTTTAGCCTCATTCCTGGCGGGGAGGTGAGGGTTCTGCAATTTAGTTGTGTGGGTTCGAACTCAAGTCTTTCAATAATTGAATCCAGTTTTGCTGCTGCTGCTGTTGCTGCCGCTACCGCTGCTGATGGTGGTGGTGGTAGTGGTCTTGGCGAGATGATGATGTTGACCATCGCAATGATGTGGGAGCAGATTTCCAAGAGGTTGAAACAAGGCCGCGCCAAAAGATGCAAGTGATGCTGTGAGCCCAGTGGGTGACATGTTAGGATGTGATAATGACGATACGATGGTATTGACATCGATGGTGATGTCCTAGTGATGAGATGGTGCTGGTACATATTGGTGATGAGGATGCAGGTGGTGATGCAGGCGGCAGTAGTGATGATCGTGGCGATCGGTGGCGATGGTGTTAGCGGCAGGGATGATGGACTGTGAGAGCGACCGTACTTGAAAGCTGCGTGAGTCTTTGGTTCAGTTTGGCTTACATTATAGTACATTATAGTATATTATATGGATCGATGTGGAAACCTTGCCTAAGCTGATACGTTGCTCGGCAGTCTTCGGCCCCCCACCAGGCAAGGAACCTCGGGGGCCTGTTTCCTTCTCCTCGTCTGAACAGCTCTGAAATCTGATTCTGGTTTCTGCGCGTCCGCCTGAGTCACACGTGAAGTCTACGTGCAGCGCCAGAACCTAAACTCAGTCCCCCGAATTCGAGAGGATTGATGGATCAGTCGCAGACGCTAACAAAATTGAAACAGCTGCACTTGGATACGCGAACGACCGCATCCACGTGCAGCCTGAGGCTCTCTTCGCTAAGAGACGAGGAGTGCAGTGGCCAAGAGCACAGGATGTTTATGATACTAGCACCAGAGCCTTCCATTATTATGGCATTAGTATAGCATCATTATGGAACTAATATGGTATTATGATAGTGTTACGGCATTATCTCTCTTGCCTAACTACACATCTCCTCGCTGGGAGATCGCTCCCCGGCTCCTGCGCCAGTGTTGTGCCGCTGTGCCTCAGGCGTAGCCGCCGTAGCCTGGGACCGTCAAGAAAATAGACTTCTGTATGCTAGATATGATGTTACATTCAGGGTGAATTGTGGTTTTAGGGCCTATAGGGGCAAACCTGGGCTTTACGGTTCTGGCTTTTTGAGCCAATGTGGCTTTTGGGCTCGGTGGCTCTGCTGGATTTGGGTTAAGGGTTTAGGGTTAGGGGTTATTTGGGCTCTAGGGTCGAAGCTTTCGGGGCTTGCAGGCAAGTTTCGGTCTGTTTTAGCTGCTGTTTCAGCCCGGGTTCTCTGAGCCCAAACACCGCCGATTTCAGCGCTCCGCAGGAAAAGGGTCCCTTCGGCACACGTCTGTGCTGCCGCCACCACCACCACTACTCCGACAACTACTACCGCTACTACCACTTCCACGCCTCCACACTGCAGGACTACCGCGCTACCACAACACGGAAGCACGGATGGCTCGCGGCCGGATGATTTTGCCATATTATTTTGCCAGGCCGAAGAAGTATTTCTGCTTCCTTCGTTGTTATTGCTGCTTGAGGGCACTGCCTTGTTATTGTTGAGATGGTGAGCCTGTCATACCACATGTCAGGTTGAAGCGTCAACGATCCAATAGCCGCACTTGACGACCGACTTCCAATCCGAGTAGTTCGCTTGGAATCCACTCCTGTTGCGGACACCTTTGCAGGGCCGCAGTTAAGAACCGGAAGAAGGCCATCTTCTGATTGAGAGTGAAGTTGTTGCCTACAAAAATGTAAAATGAGCTGATAGCATACATCTACCACCAACATCGCCCAGCGAGGGAGCACAACTTCTAGACCGAACCCTCATGCAACCATGTGTATACGAATAGTATTGCAATTTTCTCTCTAATGTTCTTACACGTACTCTTACTCTTACTCTGACTCTTACTATGACTCTTGCTCTGACTCTCACTCTCACTCTTGCTGTTTTTCTTGCTCTTACTCTAACTCTTGCTCTTTACTTTTTCTTACTCCTCCTGCTCCTCCCTCCTCCTGCTGCTGCTGTGTCTGCTGCTGCTCCTAATGCTACTACTGCTACTACTGCTACTACTACTACTACTACTACTACTACTACTACTACTACTACTACTACTACTACTGCTACTTTCGAAAGCTTGGCTCAATCCTTCACCTCACGAGCAATGGCTCACATGCAGGACCGTGGGACGGGTTTATAAGAAAGCCCGAGCCATCCGAGCCTGAACTTCCTAGTCCACAGTCTCTTATGGTAATAGTCGCGAAAAGATCAACAGCCAGGCTAAGACATCATAATAATAAACAGCGACAGTCACAGCAACATTGACCCTTGTCTAGGCTCTTCTTGTCTTTGAAACTGAGCTCAGCAGACAGCCTGGTACAACCGCCCTGTCTGCAGGGAGATACGTGGTGGTATGATTGGTGGAAGGCGCTACCACTGCTCGCTGGAAGCACGGTTCATTGTTCTTGTCTGGTATTGCTTTCACTTCCCGTTCGCGAGTCCTATCGCGCATCCTTCTTGTGGCCCCTGCTTGCTATCTGGCTTTATCTTCTTGGACGTGCCCCCTGTTCTTGAGCCCCATCATGCAGCCTTGTTTGGGCGTGCCACTGTTCTTGCGCCCCGAGAAATGTTTGCTTTAAGTCTGGCTTCGGTGTTCCTTCATTCTGCTTCCTGATTCTGTTCTGTCTGTTTGTCCGCTTCCGCGTTTCTTGCCTTCTGCTTCAATTCTCGTGTTTCATTGCCACCTTCTGCTTCGCCACTGTCATGGATTGTGAGAAGATCTTGCCCCAGCAACATTCCCCACAGGTGTTGCAGTCGCCAACATCGTAATCCGAAGCTCCCCAACCCCGAAAGGTACTTCTGATTGTGCTGCCCACAACCCTTACGACCCTTGGCGTTCTGGCCCTGGCACATCCCAGCTGCATGGAAAGGGGCAGCCGGAGAACGAGCGGAAGGCTGCTGCCCTGGAGGTCGGTTTCTTGCAGGGTGCGGGGTGCAGTTTTTGAGTGTAAAGTTGCGAGTCACACGATGCCCTATGCACTGAACCGTTTGCTTGAACGTAGGTTGCACAGACATGAACCATGCCATGGACCATTCAACGCCAGGGAGGGTTGTCCAACAGAACGAGACAGCAACAGCGCAAGCAGGGCAACAAAGCACGAACGAAGGCGACGGCAGGTTCGGCGGTCAGAACAAAAAGCATGCAGAAACGGACACATGAATGGCAATTGTTTTCAGGAGGGGGTCGGAAGCCGGGTTCAATTTGATTTGGGTCGCGAGGGCCGAGCGGCAGCAATGGCAGAGCAACAGCAGTTGTGGCAGCGCGGCCATCGCACGGGAGGGTCTCGCGCAATGTCCAGACTTGCAAAGCTGGCTCTGGATTCTGCAGACCTCTTTGGATCACGTGGATGGCCTTATAAGCAAGGAGCCGGAAGACATGGCGCCGGAGGTGAAGCAGGGTCTTGACAGTCTTGCACAGAGCCGCAGTTGAATCGACCCGCGCGGCCATTCACCTTTGTTTCATTGCGGTTTGCCTATGATCATGACTCCTGTCCCTTTTCGGGCTGGGGCAGTGGATGCACTGAGTGAGGGTGCAGAGGTTCGGTAAGCAACAACTCAAATCACCAGGAAGGATGACAGGGATCAAGCTTCTGGGCTCAACGCAAGTGTCATGCTGAACTGCCATTGCTCATAGAATCTTGCTTGTGTTATAGTCTCTATAACTCTATAATCTTTAACATCTTTCCAGGAGCGCGAATCCAGGGCATTGCAGCGACGGCGCGAGGCCGGCGGCCAGAGGGTTCATTGGTCTTTCAGGGTCTCGGGCGTCGGGCTGACGAGGTTTGAAGGCTTGGGTGATCTTAGTGATTTCAATTATGTTGGCTCATTTTTGCAGAGCCTTCAGCTTAGAGTCTTTAGGCTTCAGTTTAGTGTTTGCGCAAAAATGCCCAGAGCTTATTGACAGCATGGTTTTCTGAGTCGCAGTTTCGCAGTTTGTGATCACGGATTCACAGATTCGTAGATTTGAAGATTTGAGAGAACGTCCGCTGCGGGTGCGTGACTTGCAGGATCGAGGCCGGTCCCCTGCGCATCCGCCGCCACCCATGTGCAAACATCCATTCCCGAACGTGCAAATAACAGGTCATCCACCCATGACGATTCATCAGTGCATCCCAATACCTTCATTCCACAGCATCCATAACGGCATCCATAAGAGTATTCACGAGGCTCCAGCCGAGACCCTTCTTAGAAGTAGTAGTAGTAGTAGTAGTAGTAGTAGTAGTAGTAGTAGTAGTAGTAGTAGTAGTAGTAGTAGTAGCAGTATAGTAGTAGTAGCAGTGATAGTAGTAGTACGAGCACCATTGTTGTTATTCTTGCTACTCTTACTGAAGATGGTGAGAATTGCCAGAACAGCTCTTGTATGTGATCCCGAGTTGTGATGGATGTTGTGCCTTTGGACTCAAGGAAAGGCTACGAAGTTAGCACCTTGGGTCGCGCATGTGTAACCAAGTTGCAAGATGCTACATGTAAAGGCGTAGCAGTCAAGACTAGCAGCAGTCGTAAGCTTGTCTGTACAACTTACCTATGCCGATTCGCTTGCAGCATGAACAGGTTTGTAACACAAAAACTTCGCTTCTGAGTGCTGAAGCCCATGGCCTTGCGTCTGTTTGATTGCTCACTGTAAGCTTACTGTTACTGCTACTGCTACTGCTACTGCTACTGCTACTGCTACTGCTACTGCTACTGCTACTGCTACTGCTACTGCTACTGCTACTGTTACTGTTACTGTTACTGTTACTGTTACTGTTACTGTTACTGTTACTGCTGGTGTGAACCACCAGCAGGCTGTGCAGAAACAAATGGAGTTGCAAGCTCCCCTGCCTCAAGCAACCCTGGCTTGGCTCACACACTAGGCGGAGATACTTTTACGCGAAAGAACAAAGCAACACCACGAAGTTTGTGCTACCTTCTATGAGATGTGATACGGCTTGGCACCTACCATAGCTAGCGTGAGATAATACATCAAAAGCATGCTGAAAGGCTTAAACTGTGCCGTGCCTACAGAGCAACGGGGAAAACAAGTGACTGCTACAGCAAATGAACATGTGGGCATTGATCTAAAGGTCCTTGTGGCTGTATTTATACAAAACGATCACGGGCATAACATGACATGCCAGCGCGAAAGTTGCGCGATGGCTCCGCTAAAGAAAATTATTTGTTTGTTAAAGTTATTGCGTTAGCATACTCCCGACTCTTACTACTACTGCTACTACTACTACTACTACTACTGCTACTACTGCTACTACTACTACTACTACTACTACTACTACTACTACTACTCTTACTGCTAGTACCAGTACTAGTAACTGCACTAATATGTATACTGGTTTTTGTACTAGTACTGGCACTGCTCCTGCTTATGTGTATACTTGTATTTGTACTAATACTGGCACTGCTCCTGCTATTTCTACTGTTACTGCTACTCCTACTTCTGCTGCTACTACTACTACTACTACTACTACTACTACTACTACTACCGCTGCTACTGCTCCTACTACGGCGACGACTACGACGACTACGACGACGACTACTACTTGTACTACTACGTTTTAGCACGACATGTCAAACGAACCACGCAGCAGGCTCCAGGCAGATGCCAAAATGTGGTGTGGCTAGTGCGTGTAGCGCGAAAGATCCGCTAAAGTTCCGCGCAAGTCGCGTGAAAGTCGAGGTTGCCATATCAAGGCAACGGCCCATTGTTGTTTCTACGGCTACGACTGGCGCATACCACGACGAGCACTAGCATTCACAGTAGCACTAGCACTGTACTACAGCGGGGAGCATGGACGTAGTTGTTACCAGTTTTTTCCATGCGTTGAGGGCTAATTTCTAGGTTTCCGGAACTGGATTGGCGGGTGTTGGAGTGGAGCTGTCAGGTGTGTTGGTTTGCTTGAACCCAAAACCTACCGTAATCCTTGTGTCCCGAACCCTTAACAGGCCTCAACCTTAGCCACGTACCTTACAAGCCGAACGTTAAACCCTAAACCCCTAAACCCTAACATGGGACCACATCTAAAACGCACCAAAACGCTGAAAGGGTTCTTATAGAGCTTGTAAAAATCCCTCATAGAACTCTTTTTTTCTTAGTATCAACATATACTTGAATATGTGTCCGCGAAAGGGCGCGCGAAAGTGACGCTAAAGAAAATTAAATTTTCGTGAAGAAGATCATTCGGAGATATATTGATGTAGATCAACGCCATGTACAGAAAAATTCACTTCAGCAGTTGCTGTTTCTGTTCCTGTTAGTGTTAATCTTATTGTTATTGGTTTTCATTGTTATTCTTGATAGTCCACAGGCCAGAAGTTTCTCCTTATCATTGTTTCTTGATCTCTGCAGGCCCGCTCCAGCTCGCCTGTGCGACCGGGCGAAGTGGCTCCTGCCCCGCCCGTTTGGCGGAAGGGGGTCGTTGTTGGGCCCCTCGGCCGTTTGGAGTGTAGGATTTTGGGATTAATGGGATGAAAAAGGGTGGAGAATTTATGATTTTGGAGCTTAGGGTTGTGACTTGCTAGTTTCGGGTAGAGCGAACAATTGGGAAAGGTTTTGTAGCCTACCAAGCGGGAAAGTTGGTGTTTTCTTTTTCTCGGCAGCGTTTGGGATCGCATGCTTGGAAAATCTTGGAAAGCTGCATGTAAGCCCGAGTGGCGTGACGCGTAGGTTTAGAAAACTATGTGTAATTAGTGGATCGCTTTTCCGCCGAGGCATGTGAACCCGAAGCCCTGTATAGAACCATCAAATGTTCTAGGGTTTGGAGGCCTGGACAATCAAAGTATGCAAAAGCCACGCAAGCCTTGATATCTACGCTTTCTATCACTTTCTCAATTTGTTTGCATGCATGTGTGGGGTGAGGGGGGGAGTGGGGGGGAGGTAGGGTTTAGGATTTGGGGTTAGGGTTTGGGTGCCAGTATGCGGCCTCGAGGTCTTCCACCAGTTGGGCTTCAAGTATTGCAAATTCAGCGGCATTCAGGGCCCCTGGATGTTGGGAGCCGTTTTTCGATACTGCGAAGTGGGCCGACAGCCCATATAAATTTGCATATGTCGTTTCGTTGACCGCCTTGCCCAAACATGCTGGACATGCCTCAATGAATACATGTCAATGTGACTTCAGGCGTCTGGTGAACCACCCGGACAAATTCAAGCAGTTCCGGGCACAAGCCTAAGTGCTTTTGAGCTGCCAGCGGTTTGCAGGAGGGCGACCCAGACAGCTTCTATATACATGATGTTCCCTAAACCCTATAGACCCTAGAGCTACCTCTCCAGTTGGACGTGCGTTTCCGGTCTGCAGGAAGATATCTACCGGCGCCGGGGCCGCCGCATGGAGGCCTCAGCATGTTTCAAAGTGGGGGCATGTGCCTAAACTATAGAGTTCCTTTTTGGGCCCTAGTTTCCTTATCACAAAACGGACATGGAACTTTAGACACATATGGGCGACCGCATAAATTGCGACAGGGAGAACCAATAATTATCGGGGAGAGAGAATAGCCTATGTCTAAAGCTGAAATTCGCTCGACACCTGGGAAAGCGACATGCCCCACCCCCAAATGCGACCTTGGTTCGGAGCTATGCCCAAAGCGATACCCACTGTGTAGCTTCCCTGGCCTCGCTCAGGCCCTGGTCCTTGTACTGATATTTGTCTTTGTTTTGGCACCATGTTCCAAAGCAGTTATGGCAGCATGTCGGTCAATCTCTGTAAAGCGACAGGGCACCCCCAAACGCGGTACCAGCAATAACTACTGCAATGCTTCTGTGAAGGAGTTGTTGCCGCCGCTCATATCAATATGAACTTCAGGGAATGACAAATGCATATACAGATAACACAGCAATGCTTTGTGCGCTGTCATTTTTCTGTTTCTTGTCTGGCATGGGGCCTTCGGTTCTCGAATTGTGCGTGCAGGCTGAGAGAGAGGAGGACCTCAAGGCATGCCTTGCATGGCTGATTCAGGTAGCAGGTAACTGTCCGGATCATGCTTGGCGCAATTTCGAGGTTGTGGGTTCGGGCGTTCGGGTTGTCATGTGTGCTTGATTGTACTGGTATTGGGCACACTTTTACTTTTAGAAGCCATTCAGGAAGAAGCTCTCTTTCTCAAAAGCGCATTGCAAGATCTCCTGAAGCAAACTGATGTCCTAGGCGTCAAGGGTTAATGAACGCACTTGCTGACCCGCTGTGCGTGTGGGATCGGCAAGGGATCGGCTTCCCACCGCAACTTCAGCCATATGACCGGCAGTCAAAACAGATTCACTTGATTTTGGCTTAGTATTTGCTGCCCACCCACGATCTCTCGCAATTCGAAAGATGTTGAAAGCACGGGTCGCAGTTTGATGTTTGAGGTTCGGTAGCAAGAGTTTGGATATGGAACTGGGATGCTCGAACTTGAAAATTTCGCTCTGTGGGCAGCAGTATTTCAAGTTCGAGGGCCCCAATTTGATGTGTGAGGTTGAGTGTTGGGGGCACTCAAGTCTTTTCACAATCATCTACACCCTCATGACTGGAAGCGAGGTTTCCATGGGCTGGTTGGATTGTCATTGCGTTGTTGCGCAAGCTTAATTCTGTCCTGGAACGAACGAGGTTTCCATGAGCCATTTGGATTTTCATTGAGTTGTAGTATAAGTTTAGTACTGGAGTCCAAGTTTCCATGAGCCGGCTGCAGCCACATCATTCATCAAAGCTCAGACTGATCATATGTCCTGACAGCGGAACGATGCAGGTTACTCCAGACATTTTTGAGCTCTTCTGCGCCTGTGCGAGCGTGAGGCCTCGCGCGTGATTCTCGTGTTTTGGCTGCGGGATCGATTTTACCGAAGAGGAGTTTTGGGGCGTCTTGGGGCTGTTTTGCTGGCGGCCTTGGCTGAGGCTTTCGAGATTGAGTTGTGCGGCTTCCGAGCGTTTAGGGTTAGTGATCGGGGTAATGCCATACTAGTACAACCTGGTAGTACATTACGGCATACCACAGTGGCATGTTATGTGGTTGAAGTTATGGCTTTCTGTGGGTCCAGGTTGAGGAGTTGCGATGTACCGAGTTCGGTACTCTGCAGTGCGATAAGTACAGGGTTGATTCGACCCCCTAGCTTGTTAATCCTTTTCCAAACCTTCACACTTGCAGTGCTTCTTCACTAGGCTGGGAGCCCAATGCTCTTCGGATCTATTGCTTCTAACCTGCACCTGTCAAGAGTTTGGAGTCCTTTGCTCTTGGACTCTTGGAGTGAAATGAGTGTGGTGTAGCTTTAAAGTGTTTGAGGATTAGCTGGTATATAGAGCCTGGAGAGCTTCGTCATCCGACTTCCCATGCTACTAGCCAACGTTGTCAAGGTCAGTGAATCTCGCCCTTTGCACTTGTCCAGCGTGACTAGATTGCATTCTCAGGAATTGGAGACAGCGTGTCATAGGATGATGTAGCATGTCAGTCATAGCCATGGAGCAATTTGATCAAGATGCCTTGCAGAACCACACTAGTTGCGAAGGTTGGATCAGGGAGAACTGTCGTATACTAGAGTGCATTATGGATTTTGGTACCAGACCCGAGCCACGGCCCTGAAGGCTGAAATACCTGTGCCTCATGCTCCGTGACTTGGCAGATTTGTTTGACCTAGCTGAAGCTGATTTCTTAAGACCCCGAGCTGATGCTGATTTCTTCAGGTGGTTTAGGCAGCTAAATTGTGTTTGATTGTTGAGTTTGCCCTACCAGCAACTCTGCTTTGAGACTTGCTTCAGAGGACACTGGGTTCATCAGAACCTCCGCCCGAAATTGGATGATCTCAAAGATATTGATGCAAAACACTCCATGATTATTGTGGTGCAGTTGCAGTGGTTGGAGCTGCTCCTGAAGTTTGTTGCCGAAGCAACATGCAGTAACCATATCGTGCTTTGCTCTAGCAGCCACAACTTCCCAATTACAAAATTTGCCGGAGAAACAAAAACAACCCAAACAGCAACGTTTATAGGATAGAATCAGAGCCCCGCTACCGGACCCCCAAAACTCCATGATGGTTATTTGCAAAGCTCCACAAGGCCCGAACAAGGCAGTTGAAAGGAACAGATAGGAGATACGCTAAAAAGTACGGTATTTGCAGCTTTTGCCAGATTTGTTTCCGAATTCGAGGCCCTCCCCTGCCCCCCAAGCACGACCTCCTGATGCTCATGATCCGCGCCTCTTTCGGGGCTTCGGTACCACCCGAAAGTTCGAGGTGTCTCGCATTTTTCCGCATGGCTGGCCGTACCCAAAACGGAGGGCCAATGATGCCCGACAGGGCCTGCATTGGTCGCTCTCCGAGCTGCCTGGCGGATTTCAAAAACGCACCAATCTGTGCCCCTGAGCCCTGATGAGCCTTGGGATTTAGTAAGTGGGGTTCTTATAAGGTTTAAGATTTAGTATGGTGTAGGGTTTATGGCTGCCGGCTTTGCTGAGGACAAGACTTTGAAGACTTCTTCCGGAGCGGCACTGGCGGAGGCGGTGCCATTTCAACGGTTTTGGAACAGCGCTTGGTGCGCTTTAAGCCAAATTTTATGACTTGGGAGCCTGGAGTTTGCGGGTGCACATTGCAATCCCCCCCCCCCCGAATTTTGGTCAATGGCTCCAGAAGGCATTCCTTGCTGCGTACGGCTCAGAACCAGGTCACGATGACAGAAAACACCTTCCTAAGCACTGAACATGTCATTCCCCACATTTTTCAGCCTGAGATAGTTGAAATCTTGAGCTGCAAGGTGTTGAAGGTTGCAGGCATTAAGTTCTGGTGTGGTTGGAGGTTGGAGGTTGGAGGAAGATAGGGAGTGCTGGTGCGATGCATCTTGAACATGCATGCTCACATCAGGCCAGAGCCGTGCATGTAGCTTGAGCGCGAGCATTGACAGACATGTTGGCAGGTAGTTGCATGTTGCTTTACATCTACCAGCGTTGATATGGCATGGAGGGAGGGGAAGGGCGTTTCCGTTTCAGCCAGTATTGCCTTGCGAGGGGGAGGGGGTGAATCAGCGATGTTTTGGGTGATTTGCCGAACAGGCACGGAGGAGCTGAACTATTTGTTCAATGATGTCTTGGACAGACAGCAGGACCGACGCTGCGGGCTTCTTCAGATGGAAGAGCTGATACTCCATAGCCATGGTAGTTTCCAGGCGTGTGCACCTTTTCATCTGCCACAGTCTGAGCCCAAATGCGAACCCTAAACCCTAAACCCTCCAGGAGGTGACGGGGATCACCGGCGGCTCCCGGGCAGCACTGGGTCCTGCACTGGTCCTGTGTTAGTCGGTTTAGGGTTTAGGGTTTAGGCGTTAGTTCTGCTAGTCCTGGTTGACAGTATCATTAAGTAAGCATCAGGTCGCTCAGCAAAGCCTGTGTTCATTCAGAATATCAGCGAGATTCTGAAGCACGTGAGAGAAAGCCCTCCCAGATTCCCAGCTTACAGGGTGGAAGAATAGATTTTGCGCGTTGTGCTTTGAGATAGTGTTCCACGTTATAGTTATGGGTGCAGCAGCCTCAACAATGGATTGTACTAGCATCACGTCTGCCATGATGACGGCGCTTCTGGTCTCCTAAATTGAAGACCAAAAGGGGAAGTGGTGGGGACGGAGGCGTCCGTCGACCCTGATCCTCCGTTGAGGGGGAGTAGACTTGTATGCTGGGTGGGGTGATGGGTGCTGAAGACCTCTGATTGTTGGCCCAGGGGTCGCGAAATTGGACACTCTGCGGGTGTGGGCTTGATGGGGGAACTCCAGTATGGCGGTATTGTTTGTGCCTTGCTGCAACTTTTCACTCCGTCCAATGCATAACAGCTTGCTCATAATTATCGGCACCAGATTGGCTTGCCGCCAGCATTTGCCACGTGGTAGGGTTCGCAATCGATGGGCACGCAGATTTGTGGACCGAATCGCGGGTAAAATCTTGTTTTCCGACAACGATTCCAATCGTGGTGCAAGCTAGTTTTCCTGTGGCAGGCCTTGCGCGTTTGCGTTCAACATTTTTTGCGGACGCATGCTCATATTCATCATAATCGAGGTTTTCGTCCGAAGCACTCTGATCGCTTCGTGCTTGTTTAAGAGATGTTCAGTTTTTTCCGTGTGGAAGCTCGGCGTTCTTTGACGGGCTTGTTGTGCGTCAGCGGATGCATTGCACCCATCAGCGTTTTGTTGAGAAGCTAATGTTGCAATCGGTTCCAGTCCAAGTTCCCAGAGTTTCGTTGCCGCGACCAAAGTCCCGGATTAAGGAGTTTGCCAGTTTGGTGCTTGATCTTAAACATTGCTGGTAACCGAGTCTCCTCCACCGTCGCCATGTTCCACAACCTCAAATCCGTCAAGCCTTGTTAATTTTTCCAAAGTCCCAGGACTGTCCTTGAAATTCGTTCAGGCCGGGGTTTAGGGTTTGTGGCGCTGCACCATATTGCTTTGGGCTCACAGGAGCGTGTTTTACATATTGTTAGTGGCTTCAGGCAGCAGGAGTTATGGTAGGAGTGGATAGGCGGGTGTCAGGGTTTTTGGTTTATCATTGACCTCATACCTTGTCCAGTTTTAGGTAGCAATATCAGGAACAGAAGTAGCACTGGTTGTGGATAGCAGTAGTATCGTGTAAAGAGCTCCCGGGGGTATCGTTGCAGGGGCGGGGGGGGGGGGGGATACAATTACAAATTAAATTTGACCCAGAAGACTTTCCAGGCAGTTCTGACCGTGCCTAGTACTAGCTAGCACTAGTGTATACTAGTACTAGTACTAGTACGCACCCCCCCCACCCCTACCAATTAGCTCTCCTAAACACTGTTGAAGAACACATCCATGTTATTCGGTATTTGCAGTACTTTCGTGATGTCGTAGTCCCCAACCACCGCTGTTGACGGGAGGCGGGGGGGGGGGGGGGGGGGGGGGGGGGGGGGGGTGATGACGTACTCTTGAACAGCACATCAATTTTACTCGGTATTTACAGTACTTCGTGATACTGTAGCCCAATACCAAAAACTATGATGATGATGATGATGGTGATGATGATTCACCAGGTAGTTGGTATGCGCGGGGGGGGGGGGGGGGGGGGGGGCGTGGTTAGACTAGTACTTAGTTTCACCAGTAGCAGCAGGAGAGGGAGGAGTAGTAGTAGTAGTAGTAGTAGTAGTAGTAGTAGTAGTAGTAGTAGTAGTAGTAGTAGTAGTAGTGGTAGTAGTAGTAGTAGTAGTAGCCGCAGCAGCAGCAGGAGGAGGAGGAGTAGTAGTAGTAGTAGCCGCAGCAGCAGCAGCAGGAGGAGGAGGAGTAGTAGTAGTAGTAGCCGCAGCAGCAGCAGCAGCAGCAGCAGGAGGAGGAGGAGGAGGAGGAGGAGGAGGAGGAGGAGGAGGAGGAGGAGGAGGAGGAGGAGTAGTAGTAGTAGTAGCACTAGTAGCACTAGTAGCACCAGTAACACTAGTAGCACCAGTAGCACTAGTAGCACTAGTCGCACTGGTAGCACTAGTAGCACTAGTAGCACCAGTAGCACTAGTAGCACTAGTAGCACTAGTAGCACTAGTAGCACTAGTAGAACTAGTAGTACTAGTAGTACTTGTAGTACTAGTAGGACCAGTAGTACTAGTAGTACTAGTAGTACTAGTAGTAACAGTAAAGAAAAACAAAAAGACTTCCCGTTAGCAGGTGTTGGCGAACCGGGCCATTTCTCGAGGATGGCAGCTCGAGGCTCGGGTTGAAGTTGCAGTTGCGTTGTAAAAGTAAGGGGAACTCCAGACGAAAAAAGCGCGAAGACTTCAAGCCTCAAAAGGAGCCATCCCAAAGCGAGTGGCAGCTTTACAAAAGCCCTAAACTTTACAAGGATTGGAAAACTAACCGTAGCCTTAAGAGCAGGCCTTCAGCCTGAAAGGATTGCGAAACTTTTAACCCTGAAAGGGAGTTGGAATCCTTGATCCCCCGAAAGGAGGGGAAACCCCAAAAGGAAGGGCAAGCCGCAAACCCTGAGATTGCCAAACAGGAAAATCTTCGAATTTAAGAGGAAAGATTTACCCGGAACCCTAAAAAGGGGGGAAACCCGAAACCCCAAACGGTGTGGGAAACCCGAACACTATGAAACGAGGGAAACCCTAAATCCTAAAAAGAGTGGGAAACCATCGAATGGTAGGACCGCCCCGAGAAGGAGGTGGAAACTGTGAACTTAAAACAGACTGGGAAAGCCTGAACCCTAGAAAGATGGGTAAGCCCTAAAGTCCAAAAGGAGCGGACAACTCTAACTTTCAAAGGCAAGCATCCGCCCTGAAGAGTGGGAACCTTAGAAGGAGTGGGAAGCCCTGATCACCTAAAGGCAGGGAGCCCCAAAAGGAGGGGCAAACCCCAAAAGACAGGGAAACCTTGAATCCTGAACGCAAGGGGAAACCTGAACCCGAATAGAAGTGCCAAAATCCCAAAAAGCGGTGAAAATCCTGAAAAAGAAGGGCAAAGCCAAAACCTTAACAGCGGGGGAGAACCCTGAACCCTAAAAGGAGTTGGAAACCTTGAACCATGAAAAGAGGGGGAAAGGCTTAAATCCTAAACAGCGGGAAGCCCCAAACCTCAAAAAAAGTGGTAAAACTCGAACCTCAAAAATTGCAGGTAAAACGGAGGGGGGGCGGGGCAAGGTGGGGCGACAGTTGGGCAATCCTGTGGCTGACCCCGCCGCCACATATTGCCAAAGCCAATCCAGAACTGCATGTTTGGTGCATTTGTTGCTGTGTCCACGCGGTGGGGCCAATTGCTAAAGCAAATATTGCATCTTAGGTGGTACCTGCAGCATTTTGTGCTGGCCCATGTGCTGAAACAGCTGTCAAAGCCAATCCCGAATCCAGAAATAGCACGCCTGTCTTTCCAATACGGGGGTTTGTGGTAGCTTAAGGACTTGGAAAAGCGCGAGCGCGGCTTGAATGGAACGAGTGCGGCATGGATCCCCCTGCCCCTTGAGAAAAATATGTGCGCGATGACTGACTTGACAGTGATGGCATCATTAATTATATAACTTTATTAGCAGCAAAGATGTTCCAAACAAGAAGCCACAAACCGGCGCTGAGCATGACCCTTGCAGGAGCTGGACTCGTCCGATGAGGACAGCAGGGGGACTGCACTACAGCTTGTTGTGGAAATATACTTGCATGTTGCTTAAAACCCAGACGGATCTGCAATCAACATACAGTAGTATCTAGAACGTAACGAATGCATTTTCAGAAGCTCAGTCATGGATCACTTGCACCATCAGCGACTATTTACGTGTTGCCTTCTGCAGAACATTCCATCAGTGTAAACAACAGATGATTATGAACTGGGGTGAGTTTAAAAATATGGATCTCAATTAATCTCAATTACAAGATGTAATATCCTCTGCTTGTGGACAATCATATTCTTTGATATGACTATTGTGTGTGTATCTCTCTCTCTCTCTCTCGCCTTTAGTATCATGTTTGGACATGCACAAATTGCAAGTGGTTGAGTTCTCTGTCGTAGATATATTTAATACATGCAGATCGCACCTCGGCTGCATGGAGAAAAGACGCTACAACATTACGATTTTCCTCTGCTGCACCCCGGTTGCCCTCATGGGTGGCCCTGGCCTGATGCCTGAAGCAACTCAACAGCCGCAGCACTGCACAAAAGAACAGTGAACACAACGAGCACCCTCCTTGGGTGGTGTAGCAGCCAGATAATTGCGCAAGATCAAGCATTATGAGGATGGGTTTTTGTCCGCGCATGTCTATCAGTCGCAGAGTTTGGCAGCCGAAGGAAGATTCGGGCGCAGACGACTTCGAGTAGGACCCGGTGCGAAACAGGGTCCTACACCACTGTGGCACCATGCTGAATTCCCAGCTGATTCAGCACTTCGGCTACAAGCGCCTTATTGGTGCCTGAGCGCTCCATTCTGCGAGCCAGAGGTCTGCAATGGCATCACCTGGAACCAAGCACAAGAGTGGGATAGTGGGTGCCTCACATTATCAAGCATCTCATACATGTATCGTTATCGTGCTGCAGACTGCCATGACCTGGCTTGAGCAACAGGAAGCTTTATCGTGTTACCGCTGAGTGATCATGTACCTCAAATGAATCTGACCGGCTGTACGACTGGCTCATCATCGGGGTATCGTTCACGCACCAAAAGAAGTTTTTTAGATGATGGAGAGCGCCTCCTTCACCTCTGACAGCATTGTCTCGGAGCGAGCAGCACCAGTGTGCATCGCAGGAACCAATCTCACCTTCTTTGCGGTGAACTTGAGCGGGCCAATCAACTCTTCTCCATGCGTGACTCCCCTCCACAAGAAGCTTCCCTCTCCAGCATTTACCAGGGTCCACTTCCTAGGGTCACGCTGAGATGTTCTTCAGCTTACACAACCCGTCAATCAAGAACTACCACAACAGCATCCCTAAACCTCAAACTTTGATCCTCCGGCAGCAGAGGCATCGCCCCAAGCCAAGACCGGAAACTGGTTGTCACAATCTTGTAAGGATAGGCCTGTATATCCACGAGTAATTCTTGGGCTGTGAGGAGCAAAGACGCAGAGGAAGTGATACGAGAGTGCGTGGAGGCTGTGGGGCTCAAAAGGCTAAAAGGGCCTGTTGGCCTCGCCATTGGATTTGCTGCGAGTTTGCATCGGCTTGGTGGTGTATTTCGAGAGCTTTGCCCTGAGCGATTCTGCTTGGTATCGTAGGTGCTACATCGCATGACACTGCAAGCACTAACTACCGCAGTGTGTAATGATCTCTGGGGTACTGATCACTCGTGATGAGAATACGGGTGATGGCTCAGCAACCCTCACTGTACTAGTATGAGGCAGCCTGAGTACAGTAGAGTAACCCCCTCCGTGTGGAACTCATCGTTGCTGTGCTTAGTCATCTTCGTACACTTCAGCACTACCGCCACACCAGGAGTGGCCCCAGTAGATTCCAAACACACCACTGGGGCACCATGCTGAATTCCCAGCTGATTCAGCACTTCGGCTACAAGCGCCTTATTGGTGCCTGAGCGCTCCATTCTGCGAGCCAGAGGTCTGCAATGGCATCACCTGGAACCAAGCACAAGAGTGGGATAGTGGGTGCCTCACATTATCAAGCATCTCATACATGTATCGTTATCGTGCTGCAGACTGCCATGACCTGGCTTGAGCAACAGGAAGCTTTATCGTGTTACCGCTGAGTGATCATGTACCTCAAATGAATTTGACCGGCTGTACGACTGGCTCATCATCGGGGTATCGTTCACGCACCAAAACAAGGTTTTTAGATGATGGAGAGCGCCTCCTTCACCTCTGACAGCATTGTCTCAGAGCGAGCAGCACCAGTGTGCATCGCAGGAACCAGTCTCACCTTCTTTGCGGTGAACTTGAGCGGGCCAATCAACTCTTCTCCATGCGTGACTCCCCTCCACAAGAAGCTTCCCTCTCCAGCATTTACCAGGGTCCACTTCCTAGGGTCACGCTGAGATGTTCTTCAGCTTACACAACCCGTCAATCAAGAACTACGACAACAGCATTCTTAAACCTCAAACTTTGATCCTCCGGCAGCAGAGGCATCGCCCCAAGCCAAGACCGGAAACTGGTTGTCACAATCTTCTAAGGATAGGCCTGTATATCCACGAGTAATTCTTGGGCTGTGAGGAGCAAAGATGCAGAGGAAGTGATACGAGAGTGCGTGGAGGCTGTGGGGCTCAAAAGGCTAAAAGGGCCTGTTGGCCTCGCCATTGGATTTGCTGCGAGTTTGCATCGGCTTGGTGGTGTATTTCGAGAGCTTTGCCCTGAGCAATGAAGTGACGAGCTTCAACTGGGCGCGCTGCTACTACTACGACGACTGCTACTACCACCACTACTCCTACTCCCTACAGTGCTAAAAGGTCCACCTGGCGCAGCATCTCAAGAAGTGGGTTGTGGTGCAGCGTCCGGTCTCCTGTTGCTAACAGCCTCATTGCTTTGCATTTGTGGTGCAGGACGCGGTTCCGCTTGGGAGGTAAGACCATCCCAGCCGTAGGCCTGTCCGCTGGACGTGCCTTCGCTGTGGCCGGCGCAACGCGCAAACTCTCATAGACGTAGTTGCCTTGACGGAAGCCCAACTCCGGCCAGACATGCGATTCATGATAACTTTCACTTCCCTGTTCATGCACCAGGTGGATGGTGCAGCAGCCACTGCTGACACATACTTGGACCAAATTGCAGTAGCGGGAAGTTGGCGTCATCATCAGCCATTGCAAGAAACACAAAAGCTGAAGAACCAGCCAAGAGCAGCAACGGCTGCGGCAACGCTCGCTGATTGAAAGAAAAAAGGGTTTAGGGTTTAGGTTTTAGGCTAAACCCTAAAACCCTAAATCCTTAACCATACACCCAAAACCTTCAACCATAAACCCCTAGTCCCTAAACTCCTAAACTTGCCTCCACAGACCACCCAACCATCCATTGCCAACCCCACCCCATGCCACAACAACCCAAACACATCCACACATACCGCCCCTTGCCAGCCAAAACAAACCCCAGCAGCCTCCCCCCAATACTACAACAACCCCAACAGCCCCCACAAACCCCCCCCACTCCACCCACAGACAACCCAGACAGACCCTAGCAGCCACCAGGGCCCCAAAACAGCACACCCAGCACACCCGCATAATATCGGCAAGTGCTGCTTCTCATGCTCAAGGTCAAAGCTTTCGACCATATGTCACTTGTCCAGAGGACTAAACTTCGACCCCTGTTTCACGCACTTCACGATTGAATGACCGAGGACATGCCTTTGTACATCTCAGTGCAATGCCACTGCATCGTCAAAGGAATTCGCTGCTGCCTGCTGAGCAGGTACAGGAGTCTGTGTTGTAGTTGACACCTCATTCTGACTTTGAGCAAGGTCAGCGCAGAGTGCACGTGGCAGCACATGCAGTTCGTCAGCTGTGTTCCCATGTTTTTTCATCTTACAATATCTTACACTTCTGCTGCTTCCAATTAGACTGGCTCTAAACGCACGGGGTTGGGAGGGAAGCCTTGGGCTTCGCACCGCCCCGTCAGGGCCATGGTCAGGCCGGCGGGAGGGCTGGTGGCGCTGGTAGTAGCAGGAGTAGTAGCAGTAGTAGCAGCAGTAGCAGTAGCAGTAGGAGGAGGAGACGACGAGAGAGGAGACGACGACGAGTACTCCTTGCTACCAGTTTTTGTTTCTAGCTGAACTGAACTCTGGCAGGTTGGGTATAGTTTACCTGCCGAAGTGGGTTGCCTCGCTCTCAGAAGCTTGAAAATTTTTTGTGCTGTCTTACGTGGTTGTTTGAGGCTTTGGGAGGAGTTCCTTTGACAGGGCCAACTGGAGCTTGGGAAGTCGCTTTTCCAGTTTTGGGATCTTTGCAGGGCTACTTACTGAAAGAGTGTTCTGTACTCATCAGCATCCGAAGGGATGTAGTAGCCCATTTGCGGATCACAGGGTGTTTGGATTACCTTGAAGCTCCGGTGAGGTCATCCACAACCCAGGCCTCTTCCTCCTGTGCGCTGCCTCGTGGAACCAATGCGTCAAGATAGCTGCAGAATTCTTGATATTCGGAAGTTCGTACTGAGCTGCTGCCAGGTACTGGTTTCTAGTGCTCTTTACCTGGCTAGTGTTTCTCTGGCGCTTTGTGGAGCTGGAGCAGTATGCCATCCAGTCCCCGGTCTTGAGCTGAGCGCGTCTTCCAGCTTGCGGGCTTCGATCACAGCGACTTCTGTATTGTTTACGAAGTGATCACTAGTAGCATGGTCATGTTCCTTGCTATAAATAACCGTCATCGTACCGATTTGTACTGGCTATTTGAAGCTGCGACGGCAAATGCCTGCGAGGTCAAGGGAGTTGCAACAATGCTGCCGACCTGCTGGCTTGTTTTGTCGGTGCTCATACAGCTACCAACTGGCCGATGTGGTTGTCTTTTTCAGGGTTACGACGGTTACGGTAGGGATCCCTTACTGGTACGGTGTCTAACACCTGCAGCAGCAGGAGCCTTTCTGTGTGCCTTTTTCCCGTGTCGAGTACATATTCCGAATACCACTAGTGCTACTTCTGCCCCCACTGCCGATGCTACTCTACTAGGAAGATCGATAGCAAAGATGTTAGCTGAACTAGTACGGGTGGTGGTGGATGTACCAGGCATCGTGCAGTGGCATCAATGAAAACAGTGTTCGCAATCCGAACAAACTTGTCATTCAATGAGAGGAAACGTCGCAAGCAGGTTTGCATCCGGTCTATCCGCAACAGAAGCCTCGGTGGCCATGGATGCAGACAGGAGCCTGGTAGCCTTGCAGTAAGCACTTCTGCTGTACATGGTATCGAAATAGGTCTTCTGGAGTGTACGGTTCTGGGTTCACATGTACGGAGAAGGCGAAGTTCAGATGATAATTATTGGGCAGGAGGTCTAGCCGTTGTCAACTTTAGGCTTAGGGTTCAAGGCCTTTTTCGGCCACGGAGTATATTCGTGTGGGGTCTCGGGAGCCGTCGCGAATTGCCTTACATGCAGTGGCTTTATGAGGCCACATAGGAGTAGCACATCCCTCCTCCAAGCACGGTCTCATCTGTCTCGGCAGTGCTTTTTGCCTCAAGGCATCGAGTATCTAAGTAGCCCGAATTTGACTTCCATGTAAAACTCAAAGAAGATAAAGTCCTACACTCACAATGCCTCGTAAGCAAGCTCACAGGAGCAAACCCTTCTGCATGCAGCCCTCAGCGTGAGATTCCTGGTTTCGGTTCCGGTGTTTTGGGGAGATCAGACTCTTGTAGTTTGTTGAGGTTAGCGGTTGGGGGCTTTGGGTTTTGCGCCGCTTATGAGGTTTCGAGGTCTTAGATTTACTAAGTTTTGAGGTGTGGGGGATTCCGGATGCGATTCATGTGTTCAGATGTAGGAAAAGACGTGTGCAGCTCGGATGTGGCTTGAACGGTCATGGTAAGAAGTGCTTCAACAGGATTCATCAAGGAGCGTATCACCAGCATCCCCATCATCGTTAGTGCCATGATATCCACTATCGACTTCGTTATCATCATTTTACTATACATGTGTGTATACTGTGTGTGTGTATATATATATATATCTAGAGGTGTATATATCCATCCACCCACCCACCCAGCCATGCATGCATACAGATCTATCTATGTGTATATATATATGTAGATATATACATACATATAAACATGGATATACACACACATATATATATATAGATATAGATATAGATATACATATCATATCATGTCATATCATATCATATCATATCATATCATGTCATATCATATCATATCATATCATATCATATCATATCATATGATATCATATCATATTATATCATATCATATCATATCATATCATATCCTCCTTCTCCCATCTTCTCCCTTCGCTTTGCCCGCAGCTGCTCAGGTTTGGCTACACTTTCCATGACGGAGGGCAAAGCCGGGCACTGTGCGCATGTGTGTGCATGTTGTTCGGCAGTAGTACTTTTTGCGAGCTCCTGTTTGACTGCGGAAGGCTTCAACTACACTGACATTCACTGCACGCACCTGTGCCACGAAGCCAGCTCACCACTCGGCTTCGTCAGAGCCAGGATGGCAGCAGCGCTTCTATCCCACGCCTGCACTCAGGTGGAATGGACAAGGCCTGCATGAACGAGGCAGAGATGAGTATGCTGCTGGCACAGCATTGGACACTGTAAATGGACACTTTGCGCTGTGGCATATGGCACACGTTCAGCTGAGGGACTCACCATCTGGAGCATTCATCCCTACGTTCTTCTCGGACGGGCTGCGGGGTGCTGCTCAGTACAAATAATTGTACTTGGTTTATCTCTCTTTCCGTCTCTCTGAAAGAGCTGACGTGAAGCTTCCGGGCGTATGTGGGCCTCCAGCTGTCATGGGGGTAGGACCTCATGATGCACAACTTGCACGACGTTGCAGATCCCAGGCAGGTGTTTCACTTGCAAGCCATGCAAGTTATCCCGTCAATAACTTTGCTTGGATGACCAGTTACTACTACGTTCCCGGCATCGAGAGCATGAAGCTGACCTTCAGTGCTGCCGGCACGTCAGAAAGGGAGCTCAGGGGACTCGAAGCCCCAGCAACTGCCCCCACCGGCAGCACTGGCAAAACAAGTTCCAGTGTGACACGACACAACATAAGGTACTACTTGTAGTGATCCCAGGTGGTATTAGGGAGACCCCTTAACGGGACCTCATTGAGAGGGTCTACATCCCCAAGGGGCCATCTAATCCTGACTCCTCTTTGATAAGAATCACAGGAGCCCTCAGCAAACGGATCCCCACGGCCAGGTCACAACTACTATGCGGTCCGCCCAGATGACCTCATCGGAGGACCCAGGCTCCTCTCCCATTCTGTTACTGTTATAACATACTAGGAAACGATATTTTCTTGATATTAGAGTATGCTACAGTGTAGTATTGCCTTTCGCCAGGGGCATGCTGGGCTCCAGAACAGGGCATGTCAGGGACGGAGCTCAGATTGAGTCCTGGTCAATATTATGGGTGACCCCTCCAGGTCCGTAAGGTATCTGTTTGAGTAGGAGTGTACGGCAACCTTCCTTGATCGCTTGCACTTATCAGCAAGCATGCAGCATCCGAGAGGTTGGAGCACGAAGGAAAGTAAGCAACAACTGCACTACAGTACCTGCAGCAAGCAGTCTTTACTTCACCTGTACGACTGTATGACTTGATGCTCTTCAGCAACAGTCGACTTGAGGATCCAGAGCTAATCCCGCACTCGACCGTTCTCTGGAACACGACCCAGCAATACTAAGCATGTGACGGTTCTTCGCCAATCGTGAACGTGCGAATCGTTCTTCGTGCCGTCGAGCACTGGCAGCATGCCACTCCGTTCAGGATGGCCCTTCTTTCGTTCAGCATCTCCAAAGTACTCTTTGCTTCCGCGTGGAAGCCATTGGAACCGCGCAGGGAGACGCTGGTCGGCAGCAGCGACGGCGCTGCAACTTCAGGTGCCCCCGTGACAACCGCCACTATCTCAGTGTTTTGCGACGCCTTTCGGAAAGCTCATCCAGAAGGATTTGCGATGCTTATCTGGGAAAAGTCTTTCCTCCTTCTATGTGGTCCACACTACATAGAGCAGCCGAAGCCCCTAAATCCTCAAAAGAGCGACTTGGTCCCAACTCCCACAACAGCAGAAACATGAGGGGGCCCATTGTATGCCCGGTTCGAGCTCTTCTCCCCAAAAGTCGCCCTTGTGGTCCTAAACACGCACATAAAAGGCCTAAATGATTCGTCTGGGGTGCTGGTGAGCCTGATATGGAACCCTGACGGAGAATGTTTGGGGTTCCAGGGTTTTTTGGGGTTTTGATTTCAATTTAGCCAGGTTCCTCTACCTACATCACTTGGAGGTTCATGGGTAGTTATAAGTAGGGTTATAAGTAGGATAACTATACTTACAACCCATATTAGGGGACTTATAACCCTACGTATAACTACCCATGAACCTCCAGGCAAGGCCCTGTCATCCCCAGATTCTAAACCCCACGAGCCTGGACCCTCAAACCCTGAAGTCGCCTCTTGAACCTAAACCTTGAAGCCCGAAATCCGCGAATATAATAATTGCTAGATTTACTAGATTGTTAGAGTTTGCTATAGTCCATTCTCTTGCATTCATGTTGAGTCTTGAGTCTCTGAGGTGGTCATGAACCACTCCGGCTCTATCCTCCGTCGCTTTCAGCCCGGTGAGCCGATCAGCCTCACAGTCGCTGAGGCCGAAAGCCGGACTCGGGAGTAGGCCCTGGAAAAGAGTACTGTAAAGCCTGAATTCTGATGGTTTTAGGAGTTAAGGACCTAAGTAGCAGGGGTTGAGGGCGGAATGTTGAGAATTTAGGGCTTCAGGGTCTTGGCTTGATCACGAATCGGAACGGTTGTACGGTACAAGGGGTGCGGTACAAGGGTGAAGGCAGATGGTACGGGTGGTACAGGTACGCACATGTACCCCACAGCCCTGCCTGGTACACGTACCCAACATGGCAAACCACTTTTTAAAGTACTGTAATTACTTCTTCCCTGTTAACGATGGTTAATTATTAACTGGTATGACCACTCTGGCCATGGCTCCGTTTCATTACGAGTGGTTTATTTTTTTACTATTTTGTTTGTGTCCCGGTATGTTTTTGAGTTCATCCTACTGTTCTTTTCATTGATATCGTTGTTGATTTCACTGATCTTGGTCTTTGCGGTTTAGGGTTTGGGGTTTCAGTGATCTTGGTCTTTCGGGGAAACAGAGTCGACGTGCTCGCGACGGTGCCAGGTGCTCATGGCCGGCAAGGCGGAAGAGTTTGGAGATGACGACTCCAGGTCCCGCTTAGGAGGGGCTCAATGGATTTACCCAGAGGCCCCTTAGTTGTTCCTTTTTGGAGTTCATATCGAGCCTCCAATCCTTTAAAGTAGTCCATAAAAGGAACTACTACGGGGGCCTCTGGGTAGTGATTGGGGTAGCAACAGATTTTCTGGAAGCTACTGGTTCCAATAGGAGACTATCAGAACTAGGACCTCTAGAGGTGCCCCGGTGAGCATGGTGAAGCGGGTAATATACCTTGTCAGAATAATTCCTGACGGTTCGTGAGTATGAATACGCTGTAGCACACTCCGGAGCACTCTTGTTATTTAGGCCCTACAGTAAACTAATCAATGCAGTCCTGGTACAATCCTTACAGGCACCCAACATTGACCCCGCAAAAGAGACCAGAGTATAATTGTTGTTTTCCCGCTTTCCCGTCGGCTGTGGTTGTAGTTCTTCAGGCCCGCTTGCATCCCGACAGGCTACTGCTGGATGGCCGCTACTACAACTTCGAAGAGAGACGCTCAGCAGCAACTTTGTGTAGAGCTTTGGGGTTTCAGAGCTTAGGACTTGTCGGGCTTATGTATGTTGGCCTGTGGGCTGGCTCCTTTTGTGCCACAGTATGCGTGTTATGGGAGGATGGTTCAGTGAACCAACCTTGGGCCTGAACAGCCCTAGACCCGAAATCCTAAACCCATGTTTTCTGGATGCGAACAACTCATGAAAAGAGAGCTTAAGAGAAAAGCAAAGCCCTGATTCCCTCAATCCTTAATCGCGATCTGCATTGCACTGTCGGAAAGCCGGGAACTTCCAACGCTCGCAGCACCTCAAGGAGTGATGCGCGAGGATTCGGCGAACGGCCCCCAGGGGCCACCGCAGCTTAACTGCAAAGGACATTGCGAGGAGTGCGGTGTTTCGGAATTCGATGTTTTGAGGCTTCCTCGTGATAGTTGTGAGCAGTTCGAGTTCCACATCATAGCACATCAGTGATTGCCTTTCCTTACCCGACTCCTTGCTTTATGGCTGCAGCAGCCCATGATGACGATGAGCGCTAGTGATGATGCTGAGGACTGGTGATGATGAAAGCTCATGATGACAGTGAGGACGAAGAGGACGATTACGGTACTGGTGATGAAGCTGATGATGACGGCTAGAATTAGACCCGAAAAGCATTAGAGTCTCCGCAGCTGACTGCAAGGCTGCGGTTGACTGGTGCAGACATCACCATCAAGATCTCCTACACCAACAAGGCTGGTATGATTTTGCAGCGTGTGCCAAGACTGACAGTCACAGCGGATTGAAAGATGGGTTGGAAGTAGTGAACATCATCATGAACATCAGCAGCAGCAGCTGCATCAGCACCATGACAGAGGTCATAAATAATGAAGCATGAAGCTACCGCGGGAGCAGTTCAAGTAGCTACAACAGTCCCTGATGGCGTTGGCGGCTGAAGGATGCGACCAGTGGCAAGCATCGGCACATACGCTGGCAGTTAGATTCGATCGTAACAAACGGCATCGCACGTTGCTGTACCAGCCATGCATGAGAGACTACCATGATAGACCAGGTGATACTTGACCAAGTCAGAAAACAAGACGACACAGAAAGGAGAGATGGACTTTCTGCCGTCAGCTTTCAGCCGTTGCCCGGCCAGGGGTACTGCCGCATGGAGAAGGATTCACCCAGGCTCTGGGTGCCAGATACTCCCAACTCACAAGTCGGCGCCCTCAGAGATCGTCGAGCATGGGATTGTCAGGTCTATTGAAACCTCAGTTAGCAAGCTTTTGACATTAAGGCGTTTGATTCAAACGGTTTGAATTCAGGCTTCAGGATGTAGTGCAACTTCGGTGAGACCGTAGAATGTTGAGCCTGAAGCACCCTTAAGCTTCTTTTGCCTCTGGGCCGCTGAGGTCGCCTGCATCACCGTCCGAGCGAAGAGGGGCTGGACGCAGAAGGATCGAAATGCAGCTGGTGGCCTCAGCCAAGGGCTTCCTTTGTTGAGGGCTCATGGGACGCAAGGGTTTTTGCACAAATAACCGTACATATCTAAAAAACAATGACATAGTAACAATAATCAGAAAATCGTCGTAGTCATCACTACGGGATTTAGAACTTCTTGGTGAGCCTGATTTACTTCGGGAGGTCAGGGATCAGGGTTGGAAAAGGGTTTTGGTATTTTCGGATCCGGGGTTCGGGGTTTGGCCGTAAACCCTAAAGCCCCAAAGCCCTAAAGCCCTAAACCTCCAAAACCCTAAAGCCCTAAACCCCTATATAATACCCTGAACCCCAAAAACCCTAAAACCCGCAAAGCCCAAAAAAAAACACCAAAAACCCTAAAAACCCAATCCAGTGAGCCTTGCCTCATTCAAGGTCTTCAACGAAGATGGGGCCTTCTGGACGAGAACATACCATGGCCTTAAGGCCGGCGAGACGAGATCATCCTAGGACATCTCGGAGAATTGCGGTGTGCTGTTGATTTCGTTCCAGTTGGTGGCTTTCTGAAGTTACAGTAAGGTTCTTTGGCTTTTGCTTTCGGTGCTGGCTTTGTCCTTGAGCATCAAGATTTGGCCAGGGTCGCATACTGATAAATCTCCCAGATCAATATTCTATGCCCATGCCGTTCCTTAATTAATTCCACAAAATGTGCGCCGACGTACCGCACGCGACAGAGCTGTACCGACGGGATTTGGCAGGTGCCATCTTTGGCTTGAAGATGGCCGCACGACATGGGAGTTTCCGAAAATTAGGGGTACCTAATTGGGGGTCCTTATAATAAGGATCCTACTATTTGGGGTACTATATTAGGGTCCCCTATTTTCGGAAACTCCCACATGTGTTCAGTTGTCAGTTGCACTAGACTCGACTGTGCACCAGCTTGGTTGCAGATCTCGTTCGAGAGCAGCGGGGTCTTCTCCTCCTTCGACTCTTTTGCCGCTTGCTCGAGCGTTTATTTGCTCATAGCTTTGATCCAGACAGCCTCGTACCCAAGGCACTCTTCGAGAGCACCGAGCTCGGATTGAATCTTGAGATTCGGTCCCTCTTGAGAGGTTGTAGATGACTCTGGATCGAGGTCTGACCATCCTCTTCATATGGCTGCAGGTTCCGCCTGGGGCTCATGCCATCCTCAGCCCCGACTCGTGAATCCCTCGCAAGAGTTGCACAGAGCGCGAAGCCCGAGGTCGCTAATCATCTACGTCATGGCTGCGTTCATGCTTGGCACCCTCTCCAAGGTCTATTCCAGCGTGCGAAGCTCAGGCGCACGAGGTCCGTCTGCCTGCCAAGAAAGGCGGACGTTAACCTAAGGTGATGCACCAAGAAGGCGGTCTCATCGGCACCACAGCAGGCTTGCAGGGATGAAGTTTGCATGCAATGCTCGTGGATAGTGGATCAACGTTAGCCCATCGCTTTGCAGGCATTGCGGCGCGCCTGCTGAATTGTCCCCTCCTTGGAGTGTCTGCCTCCAACCGCTTGCTTTTGTCCGCGGAGTCGGCTGCTGCTTTCCGTTGAATTGGCAGCAATTCGGTTGCAGCATGCCTTGCAATTTGCAGTGAGCATGTTGCAGGATCTTATGCCGCCGCCAGCGTGAGAAGTTGCCTAAGCTTAGCTCGCAAGCAATCATCACCAAGATGCCGGTAACAGGCACAACAGGCCGGTTGGCTAGGCCGTCGAGCCGGCAGATGTCGTCGAACGAAGACGAAGACAAGGACTAAGACTAGTACTGCGACGTCACTTAGACTAGGACTCATGCTCATACTCATACTCATACCTAAACTCACCACTCATACGAATATCCATGCTTGGGTTTCTGTGTTCCAGAAAAGATGGGGAAGCTCGCTGAATGACGTGGCGTCTGGGAGATTTCGGGGGCCTTTGGCCGTCTCAGATGAAACGCTATGTGCTCCTCGGATCTCCTCAGAGACTCTAATATCCCTTAATTAAGGAGTATCCCAATAAGTTGTAGCAGGATCCTTAATATGACTTAAGGTATATTCCCTAATTAAGGAATATTGGAGTCGGATCTCCTGCGTCAGTCTTATCAGGGGCCACAAAAGGCATGATGAAGGTAGGTGGGGTAATCCCCGAATAAGAGTCCTTATGTAGGGGATCCTTAATCCTACCTACTTTCCTCCCACCTTTCGAGGCCTCCAATCTTAGGGTCTTGGGGTTCAGGGTTTTAAGGTTGAGCGTTTCCGGCTTAGGGATCTTGCTCAAGGGTTCTATGGGGCTCTATAGGGTCTTGCAGATTTTCTACGGGTGTGGGGCTTTTTCTTTTTCTCTTGGGTCCTTCTGACTTCTTGTGGTTAGGGTGTCCAAATAGTTGAAAATAGGGACTGGAAGAATGGAAGCGATAGTAGTTCTAATTGTACCCCATTCCTCCATTCCCTACTAACCAAAGGTAAGAAAAGGGTCCTTCGGTTGATGAACCGTTCCTGTTCTCTCCTTCCTGACAGTGACCCAGGCTCGGTCTCGGGACGATGGAGATCGTCGCTGCTTCCTGCGGTGTTGCTCTGGTTATGATGACCATAACATACTATGCAGCTTGAATGATGTTCAGAGGGGCTCGGAGATTTCAGGATCACTCCGGGTACACTGGTTGTAAGGTGAACTACTCTTCGCTTCATTGCAAGGTTCCGCCTTTGTTTGGGTCCCAGGGATGTTAAGACGTCGGACTTCGGCGCTTGACTCAAACAAGGTTGCCATTTTTGCCCGACGGTACCTGCACACGGACCCGGCCAGCTACGCTCAGAACGTGTCGGAGATTCTTTGCACGAGAGCCGGCAGCACTAAAGTCCTGCCCTGCAATCTGTAAACCTTCAGGGACTCAGTCTGCTTCAGCCACAGTCACAGCCCGACACCTCCATTAAACATCATTAAACGGCCTCCAGGATCGGGTATGCATCCTTGGTGTATCAGCTACATTGGCCTGCGCACTTCGCGGCTAGCATCAGCTGCCTTTCCCTTCAGCTGGGTCTCGCGACTTGGCCTGAAAACTGCCTTCGAGAACGGGGGTCCTGCATGAGCTTCTTCAAGCGCTTGCAGCCGTTTGTGGCTCTAGATTGGGCTTAGGCTTGACTCTGGCATGTACGTTGTTGCGGTGAGGTTTCGGAAAATTCAGCATTATCATGAGCACGTGTAGTGAAGCGGCATTTTTATACTAGAGCAGCGCTTAAACCAAGCCATCGGATGTTTAGCTGGTCTTAAACCCCCAAAGCCCTGAATGCGCCAAGAACCCCCCCAAAACCTATTTACCCCACTAATCTTCATGTCTGCAATAAAGCCCCATCACCCCAATAACCCACTTTTCCTTGAGGCGCGGATAGGACTTCGGAGCCCCTGAGGTGAGCAGTGGCCTGGAACTGTTGGGCTTCATTCTGCACCCTCACCCCTACGAAGCTCGGATGCTTCAGGGTTTAGGGTGGCGACTTTATGGCCGTGGTCGCCCTATTGCTGTGTTTATTGCTGATACTGTCATGACTTATCAGGCTTGGGGCTTACTACGATAAAAGAGACCCCGCCTAGGTCTCGGAGAAAGTGCACAGCATTTCGCAGGTTGTTGCTGCTTTTGCTTGCTTGAACTGGTCTGCAATTCTCGTTATCGTCAAGAGCTGCCGAGGACTGCTATGTGCCGGACCGGGGCGTGCTGGGCGGAACGGTGCTTTTCTTGGCATTGACTGCCTCGCAGGCAGCGCTCGTCTGCACTCCTCGGGCAGCTGCCAGCTATTGTTTGCGTGCAGGTGATGCTGACGCTCTGGGCATCCATGCAGTTGCAGCGCTGGAGAAAAGTCCCGGGCTCAGTCTAGAATCGTATGGCGCGTGTATGAGCTGAAGTGCTGCTAGTTTGATGCGCTCTGGCTTAAGGTAGCTGCAGCTGATGATTCTCAAGAAATGCCGTGGCTCGCCAGGGAAGATTATATCTCATGCACATGTGGACTATCTTCGTGTTGCGACGAGGTGCCACGTGGTACTTCTGATTGTCGTCGTTCTGTTTGGTCTCTCCATGCTGAGCAAGGGAGCGACCTTGCTGAGTTCATGATGGTCGCGAGATGTTGAGACATGTTGAGACCATGAGGGATGGACGGATCATCGGAGGCTGAGTTGTTTATCCCTGTCAGCAAGTGAGGATTGTGGCTCGCTTTTAGGCGACGCAGTTTGGTCAGCTGCCTATGCTATCGATGACATTGTCATGGTTCCTCAGCATCTCATCCTTGTTCAGCATAGTTGCGCATTCCTCGCAACTCCATGTGGGGCCCAACAACAGCAGGCTCATTTGAGCATGCTTTGGTGCCTTGCCGAGGATTTGGCTGGTGGCAAAGCGGAAGGAGGTCCGTCGGTGTACATGAGAGAAGGACTGCCCTGACAGCTGCCCCTTCAGGTGCCCATGCCCCTGGCTACTCTGGTTCTCTTTACTTGGAGACTTGGCCCATAATTTTGGTGGTAGCAAGAGCGAGGTGTGCGCCCAGGAGCTCGGCACAGTTTTGTTGGCATAATGTTATGTCCGGTTAAGTGTGCGCAGGTTGGCCACACTGATTGAGCTGTCGGCTGACTTCATTGGCATGCAGTCCAAGCTGCTGGCAGGCTCCCAGCACCTCACCGAAGATTTGGGGTTATGTATGCACGCATACATACATACATACTCGGTGCAACAGTTTCTGTGCGGTATGAGCGATGACGTATCAGGGTCGCCCACCGAGGTTTGCAAGCAACTGCTTCATGTATGCCTGGAACGACTTCTTGTCGCTGGTTGCGCTCTCAGCTTGTATTCTTGCTCGCCTTGCCAGTCCTCAACTGAGATGTTGCACCAACGGGACAAAGTTCGCAAGAGTGACACCCCCCCGAGGCTTATGAGACCCCCGCTCGAGGCAATGCCATGCTATGCCTGAAATGGATATTACAGATTACAACTTTTTTATGGCGATTGGTGATGATATCCACTTGTAGTCCCTCTATACCTACACTTTAATCCCCCCAAACCCTATTCTAGCAATCAGGCATTAAGGCTCCCATATTCATCTCGATGCCTGAGGCAATCTCCGCAGATTTCGCCTACTGGTATGCTGCTTGTCTCTGGAAGCATGCAGCTGCTTTTTGCTTTTTGGATTTAAGGGGGAGTCTCTTCGCCTGGAGGTGTACTCCCTCATTTGCTATGACTCCGGCGTCAACTTGCTCAAGCTGCCAGTGTGACGTTTCGGAGCTTCGGCTTCTACATGACTAGTCCGAGTTCCCGGTCCACGCCGTGCAGGTGTGTACATGGTCAGGGCAAAAATCCCCCAGAAGCCTTCCTCCGACGCGATTGCCGCGAAGTCCTGCCCTGCCTTCTCGGATCAGATGCACAGGTAACGCACTGCCCGGACAGCTGCGTGATGCCCTGGCCCATCTGCTCAGATTCACACGAAGCCCATTGTCGACAACAGCGTGGTGGTCTACTTGCACAACAGGTTTTCTGAACAATCCATGGCCAGAGGTTTGTCGGCTGAGGGAAGGTGCAGCAGCCTTATGCAGAACGCCCAAGACATGGCGCTGCGTTCGTCAGCATAAGTTCGCTGCTCCTAAAAAGAGAGTCTCCCACTTGCACGGCCCTCATGCCATTCATGTCGGCGCCTCGCAACTCGTAATATCGACGCTCGGATCCTAACTCCTGTGAATGCATTCTCCCACCTGCTGAGATAGCTCCACATACAATGACCTCCGTGATGACCAGGTGCGGGGTGCAGTTTGTTCATGTCAGCGACATGCACCGGAAGAATTTTCACGCCCGCAGCATTTGCTAGGGTAGTGGCTCCAAGTGCGATCATGCTCCCGTCATTGTTTTGTCGAGGCAATTGCAGACTTTGACAAAAACGCTGCGTATTCGTGATGTTGCGTGGCGATTCAGTCACATTCTGAAGGCATGTAATAAAAGAGGCGATTACTTGGAGGGTCATGGGTAGTTATAAGCAGGGTTATAAGTCCCCTAATATGGGTTATAAGTATAGCTTCCGTACTTATAACCTTACTTATAACTACCCATGAACCTCCAAGTATAGAGCCTATCGAACCGCCTGTCACCCACTTCCATCGGCTCCAGCCTCAAGTACTGCAGGCCTCGAAGTTGTTGTCGTTCCAATGTTATAGTAAGGGTTTAGGGTTTAGGGTATAGTATTTTTAGATCTACAAAACTACCACTGGACTGCTGGTGGAATCAGTGGCGGGTTTTATGGCTCACAGGCGTCGTGCATCCGGGTCCCAGCTAGAGCCATCGAATTCAGGGAGGAGCACTGTCTGAAGGGCCCGGCGGTGCAACTTGTGAAGTAGCATCTTCTTCATTGCTTGTCTATTGGAGCCAGCCAATTCGGGCGTTTCGGTTGCTTCAGCGTTCAGAGAATCCTGCGATGCGTCCGGCTTCTCTTAAGCTGCAAGATTCCTGCGAGCGTTTGCTGCGTGAGTCAGCAAAGCCTCCAAACGAGTGAAGTGCAGAGTGGTGAAAGCGCTGTTCTTCTCGACAGCATGCCCGGTTTGACAGGGTGTGACGAAGCAGCGCATGGCAGTCACCCTAGATTCCTTTACTTGAAGCCTTGTTAGATCAACATACTGTCATGTGCTTGATGTTCTAAGTTGCGGCGCTTCAACTACATCCTTGCTCACGAAGAAGACTTGGACGCCAACGAGCGTGAAAAGCCTTCCTCTCGGCAAGATGGTGCTATCGCCTTGCAAGTGGCTGCAAGACAGCCTTCACTTCAGGTTCGTGGATTTCGTCTACAAAAGCGTCCTGTCTACCGTGGCTTGGCAACTTGAAGCCGTGCAGCCGGGAGCTATCAGTCCCTTTCGACCTCGCACCTTGCCAGGGTGGCATGGATGCGAAGACATCCCACTGCGACATGCTCTCTTTCTGCCGAGGGCTTGGTGGGGCGATGCAGTAGGTTGCCAAGTTATGCAAGGGGGTTTGGGGGGGGTGGGGGGGGGGGGTGGGGGGGGGGGGGATGGGGGCGGGTTGGGGGGTTTGGTCGCGAAGCTCGGTTTTTCGCCACCCCACCGTCCTGGCCAGGTTTGGTCCTTTGTTAATGGGTGTGTCTGAACTCTTCAGTGATGTTGGAGACTCGTGTGAGAGAGAGTCTCAATGGAATCAAAAATGTGCCGCTGCCCTTGGTAACCGATGCTAGCGCAGGAGTGAGGAACTGCAGCTATAAGCAATTCAGACACATGTATGGATGGAATTCCTTGCAGCAGACTCGCTCGCTCTACTTCGGGGTCAAACGCAAACTCAAACTCTACATCTTGAAGCCGTGCTTCATCCTTTACCCTAAACAGAAGTCCTGCTTACTAGGTAAACTTTGGACTTATGCGGTGTGTTTGTAGTTATCATGACAGTCTTTACAAGTTGCTATCGATGGTTCATACCTGTTTTCCTTGGTTTTGTCAACTGCCCAGTGTGTTATCGTGGTTGTTGCTGCGGCAGTCATAAACCCTGAAGCTGTAGAGCTCCGGAAACTCAAACTCCAAGTGCCAAAGCGCTGTAACTACCGCCTGCTCCGCACCCTTAAGCCCTGCGACACCTTGATCCGAATCACAGTATCAAGAGCCCTTGCCCGAGGCACGGCCTGTGCCAGTGGTGAGCCTTTGAGCTTCGAGGAGGGGCGTGGGGAGAGGGAGAGGGGGCTTTCCTCAACAGCGGTTCAGGGTGTAGAAGGCAACGTAGGGCTTGGGGACTTGGGGTTAAGAATCTGGAGGTTGAAGGTCTAGGGGTTGAGAGTCGGGCTTTCCGACTTCCCGGGTTCCGGTTTTCCGGTCGAGGGTTCGGGCAGCTTCGAAAATCCTGCTCGTAGTGGGGGCCGAATCAAAGGTACTTCAATTAGTTTATGTAGGTAGGGTTTAGCACGATGCACTGCAACGGGTCAGGCGTATGGATCACTACTGTCAGCGATCAGAACAACATGACAGTCGACTTCATACATGCCGGAAGTAACTCGCGAGTGAATCCAACAGTCTGGATAATGCATTGATTTCGATTATATGGCCGTGAAACGAGCTATCATAATAATGTTCACTATGGTTCGCACGCACGCCCGGGAATGCTGGGCAAACCACTCGTCATCTTTCGAAGCGCTTAGCGATGTCGCCTCGTCCACCAGATCCTGCAAGCGTTCTTCAATCGCAAGAAGCGGATCGGCCTGGTCAGGAGCTCACACATGCATGTTCATTTAGTTGGCCCGTTGTTGCCGTCATATTTCACTGTGCGAGCGCGGTATTTCTGCGCTTTGAGAGACAGCTGATTCGAGGTCGAAAGGGTCTTCCAGGATCGAAGCATCTCCGCCAGAAGCTGAAAGCCGAAGTTCATGTTTTGCGGCCCGGAGTCCTGCACACGTCGATTACCAAGGCCATTCAAAGTGTGACAGAGTCTCAGCTCGACATCACAGCTTCAGGCAGCTTGAAGCATGCTTAGTTTTGTTCAGCACCTTCTCACTCAAGGCGCTTTAGCAAACTATGCCGGACCGCATTCAATCTCAATTGCAGGTAACTGCTGTGCTGCAAGCCTATTTGCTCGGGCGTCGCCCACGGATGATATTGGTCCTATGCCGTCTGCCTTTCAAGCATTGTAAAATGATTGTATTGTAAGCACCAAGCAATGAGAGGATGCGACACACTGCACCTTGCCCCTGTGATAGACTCCAGAGGTGGCAAGTGACAAGAACCAACAAAATTTGGCATGCAGGTGACGACGAGCCGCTGAAGGACGGACGAGTGGGTCCTTGCAGGGTCGACGCTGCACCTGTCCGTGACAGATTGTCACAGTGGTCGACAACCCTACAGACCCATCCAGACCCTTGACACCCTTAAAACTTTCCTTTGGTCAGGATGCTGCTGCACCATTTGGTGGCCCTGCAGGTGCCCGGACTCAACTTGATTTTCTCGTTTTGCTGTGGTCAAGGTGAGAGTTTGGCTCAGCATTTTGCTAGCTGTCGTGCAGCAGCGGCAAAGCTCACCACTCCGAGGTCCCGATTGCAGTTGCCGGTTGTGTAAATGTCTGCCTCCAGTGGAACCCTGCTGCATAGCAAACTCATCATGATTGCTGCATACTCGTAGCTGAAATCACTCAACTTCTGTATTTATGTCTTTAAAGGTTCATAAACAAGTAATAGTAATACTACTACTAATAATAAACCGCGAACGTCACCCGTGAGCAAGGCCAGTCTGGAAGCGGGTGCCGGGCTTACTCCTACTCAGCCTGTGGGTGTCGTTATCTTTTGTTGGCAGCTGCTGCGGATTACTGAAACTTCAGTTCTCCGTATTGGCGGCAGCAGTCAGTCATGGAGACGGAAATGACGGAAGCAAAGACAGCGATCAACAGCAGAAGTATCTTCCTGACCCCACCACTAGCTCTGCGTCACAAAAGCTGCCACGGCAGGTACAACCCCTAGAAGAGTCAACCGCGGATGTCGCAGCGGCAGCCGTAGTGGTGCTACTATGTTCCAGTTCTATGGGGACTTTATGAGGAATCCGTAGCTACTAGTCCCAAAACCCTATCCTTTGTAATCTCTTAATCGTGCACTGCGTCACCGTGGTTCTAAGGTCTCGGCTCGGAGAAATCTTCGCCGAAAACACCAGAATGCAAGAGCGTTCTGTTCTGAGCTTCACTCGGTCCTATGTTTGAGCGTCAGACTCTTGCAGAAGAGTTGTATGTGTGTGTATGCATGTTGATATATGTGCCATCGTTGTTTTTTGTCACCGTTTCTACTATCAGCATTGAGGCTGTGCCGAAGTCACGGAGAGCTTGAAGGAGACATTGAGAGTGGACGGGCTCTCAGCTTTTCAACGACAGAGATAGGTCTTTTGGACAGTGCATGTTGAAGCATGCTATTTGGGTACTTCTCTAAATGAAGGTCCCTGGCTAGGTCCCCAAAAGAGTACGGCACCCCTAAACAGGGACCCTGATCTAGAGAAGTACCCATATTCGGACAAGGGGATCTGCAGGCCGTTGCTTTTTGCCTCGAGCGGTAGAATCTGAACTCCTTTGCTTAATTGTGCTGGTAGTCCAGTCTATGTGTTTCATGAACTATGAAAGTGTATCAAACTGTCGGCATGAGCCCAGACGGTGTACTCGAATCAGGCAGACTAGAAATGTTGCGCGGATCCTATAGAATCACTGCAAGGCCAACAGCTCCGTCAGCATGTCACCAGGAGCCGCAGTTTACACTACAAGCCCTGACCAGAACTTTTACAGCCCTTTGCTCCCCTGCGATTTACTAAATGCGTAAATAGCTGCTTAAAGTGCATCGTCTTTACCTACAGAAGTATGAGCCTAAGCAGGCAGCATTTGGGGAGCCACCCTGTGAACATTAGTGCTGATGCAGAATATACGCATACACTTGGTCATGCCCCAACAGCCTTACTTTCCCCACACCCGCAAATCCCACGAAGCTTGATGCTGAAGGTCTTGTGACCATTGCAACAGCATGTGTGTTTATGACATGCAGCTGCGCACCATGCTGGCTCCTCCGGGACACAACCGATATTTGTTCGACAAATCTCGACTGAACAGCACTAGCACAAAGCATATAGAGGTCCTAGCACCAAATACGTCGAGAATTTGGAGTCTACATTCCGAAGACCGAAAAGTGACACAAGGTGGAGTTGTGCACTTGTTTATTTCCTTTGCACATGGCGTCGTAGGACTTCCAAAGACGGATCATTTATGTCACAGCATTTCGAAGATCGAATCTTCAACCACCGTATGTCAATCTTAACTTTTTGAAGTTGTAAATTTTCATCTTCTCGGTTACTGCATCAACTCCAAATGCTTGCGATTCCTGTACCTGTACTTTGTCTTTAAACCGCTTGAGCTACCATCTCCAATCGAATGTTTGAAGATCCCCTTGTACCTTTAGACTGTACGCGGCAGTAACTCTTATTCAACGAAGTTCTATTTAGGGACACCAACTGTTTTTTGGAATCGCCGGCTCGCACTCTAAGATTGTAGTATATCTGTGTTCGTTGTTTTCGGGCCGTGATTCAACATGTGTAGTGTGGCGGTTTTGGGAACACTGTTGCGCACAATTATATCTTCATTTTTCGGGTGGCCGTCGTTGCACGATTGTCTTCAAGGTAAGTTTCGTTTACGTATCGATTGAAGATTCTTGGCACGATCCTTTCATCTGTCTTCGATCTTTCTTAATCGGTTGGACGTCTTGAAACGACAATCCCGCAAACAGACATGCAGGCTGTGTAAGGTTCGGTTTCTGGCTAGAAGTCAGCGAGGAAAAGTAGGAAGATCAAGTAAAGACAGCAGTAAATTGAAGATACCTGACAGATCTTCATTCTTTAAGGCACGAACTTGTAGAACATTGGTTAGCCTACCAACTAGCCAAACCTTCCCCGGAACTACCAATACCACGCAAGACCCTCACAGCTCCGAAGTCCTGTTCAACTCCAGCGTTTCCGGTAGTTTTTGTGATTCGAGATCCCCGTGCTCACGGTTTAGGAAACCCTAAACCCTAACCCCTGGGCTTTTAGGGTTTAGGTTCGATTTAGGTTTCGGAATCTTGGTCCCTCCTCGGGAGAGAGGAACATCTTAGCCCCAGGCATCCTCCGTGACGGAAGAGGATGCGACGACCCGGCTGGAGATCTACCGCGACGAGGCCTGGGTTTGATGTATAAGGGCTGTAGAATCTGTAGAAATCATTAGAACCCCTAAACCCTAAACCCTTTGTTGTCCAGTTCTACTATACCCCCAGAAAAGAGCCCTCAGGAATGGTATCGAAATCATTCAGCCTCCTATACTCGTGGTTGTGGTTTAGTGTTTGGGGTGCTGGGTATAGGCGGGGAGCGGTCTGACTTACTTGGCTCCTGCATCGCTGGCCCGCTGCAGGTTCAGAGGATCGGAAAATCAACGAAGATGTCAGCGTCAACCTGTGCGAGTTTACCTCACCTTTGGTTAGTAGGGAATGGAGGAATGGGGTACAATTATAACTACTATTACTACCATACTTCCATTCCCTACTAGCCAAAGGTAAGTTTACGGGACTTGGAAATCTTGTCTTTTGCCTTCGTGCTCACTGTGTCTTAACAAGATGCCACTGCTGCCAGGCAGACTCTGGCGGCACGGGCCCTGGAATCACGAGGGATTGAATTTGGTTTGACAGTACATGTACAACAAAAACCAAGTCAAGGGTTTATAATTTGTACGGAAAGGTTGGCACAGTTTCCGACACGACAAGCACTCGTTGTACTGCAAAGCAGACCTGCGACATGAGAGGAAGTCCGTCGAATTAGCTGGTCTGGATTGTCGAGCCGCACACCTGCCTAGACCGTATATACACCTGAATCTCAC